CCCATCGTTGCCCCGATGGTGTCCATCCGATTCTGCTTTACCAATCCGACAGACCGTTCAGCTGGAACAGCATCCAGGTCGTCGGTCTCCACGTGGAGACGGCATTTGGATATCACCAAGGAATCCGAGAGCTGTACAAGTGCGCCCGAGAGGTTTTCCGGAGCCAGCCGACTCGTTTATTTGTGCATGGATACTTTGTCTATGGTTCTTCTCTCGAGCGGTGGGTGTTTGACCGATCTGGCATGTACTGCTCTGGGTCAACACCTTTTGACCCAAACTCGATATGGCCCGGCACCATTATAAACCAGTTGATTATCGATGTGGTTAAGAACTACCAATGGATGACCGACATCGAGTTGGGCGTGAATCCAAGCGTTCGCTATGATGGTATAGGGAGTTATATCCCGGCCCATGGTTACTATCCTCAGCCTAAGCTTTACCTGGAACGAACGCCGCTCGTACATCCCCACAAGATCGTGAGCCGATGCACCATTTGCTACCGGGCAAGGACGTTTAGTTCCGAGTACAAATATGTGGTCAAGTTTTCATGGCGTTCGCGATCCCGAAGCCCGGAAGAACAGATGCTACGGCTTGCCGAGCGGCGCAACGTCCAGGGAGTAGTGCGACTAGTCAGCTATCATGTGGTTGACGAATCCGCCAATCGCCGCCAACGTTTGGAGCTCGTAAGGCACAGAGAATTCCCGCGCGCTGATCCAGCGGCTACATCGACCAAGGACTTGGACATGTCCTGCCTGGTTGTCACTCCGTCCGGACGCCCTATATCGAAATTCGACGACATCCCAGAGCTACTCGAGGCCTTCCGCGATGCCCTCGAGGCACATCGGTCTCTGTACTTTGACGGTGGGATACTCCATCGAGATATCTCTACTGGAAACATTATCATCCCCGACGTTGAGAAAGAAGGGGAGCCACGTGGGATGTTGATCGATCTCGACTTAAGCAAGGAGGTAGCAGATCTCTCAACCATATCCGAACAGATTGCTGGGACCAGACCATTCATGTCAATTGACTTGATGAAATACGGACAGCACTCGTGCCTTCATGATCTAGACTCTTTCTTCTTCGTCTTTCTCTGGGTGGTCATCTGCCGAGACGAAGAACCCTCATCAGAGAGCGTGCTCGATGGTTGGAGCGACGGGAGCTTTGATGACCTAGCGAGAAGGAAATCCAATGATATCTCGTTGGACAACTTTCACGTCCTTGTATCCGAGTTCCCGCCCATATTCAAGTGTCTCAGCAGGCTGGCATATGAGCTGCGCGACATGGTTGACACACCGTGGAAATACATTTCCCGCCCTGGTCAGACACGCCAAATTGAGCGTCGATATGATGACATGATCGACGCGTTCGAGGCGACCTTGGATGACTATATGTCGGGAGGGCTTGGGGAGATGGACGAGGATTGAGCTAGCGTTGTGATAAGCCACGACGAATTGACAGGGACTTACAAAGCACGATAGACATCACAACTACCCGTTGGCTCATGTGGGTCTATCGACCCAGGCGAGCCAACCTAGCAAGCTAGGTTGGCCACAAAATTATGATATATTATGGGGCCCTGATTTCCCCCTTAAAAAGCCGCCTTTTTCGGTCTCTTAGTTTTAGAAGCTATCTAGAGTAATTTATAAAGGTATAAAATAGTAAGTTAAAGCTATTAGTAATATCTAAAGTGATAATATTAATGATATTAATAATATTAATAATAGCTATAATAAAAGCCGCTGCCTAAGCCTCTAAGGCCGCCGCTTTCCTAGATAATTCCTTATATAAATTTAGCTATAAGAGCGTCTTTTTAGCCCTCCGGGCTAGCTTCTTATATAGCCCTTATTTATATAATAATTCTCGTGATCCTCTATATCCCTAATATATAGTATTAAGGCTATATTAGGTATAGTATAGAAGGGGGTTTAGGTAGTAAAGATAATAGCCGCGGCGATAAGGGTATAATTAGCGGCGATAAAGGTATTCATAGTAAAGGCTTAAATAGAGGGAGTTCCTTATTATCTTTTTCTTCCTTTTCTTTTTTTTCTTCCTTAGTAAGAGCTAATTTAAGCTAGAAAGTAATATTATTATTACTTCCTATGAGAGCGGTTTAATTTATTACGCTAAGAGGTTTTAAGGTAAAACTAATATTATAAATAGCTTTATTAATTTCTTATAGTAATTATATATTTATTATAAAAGGGTTAGACTTTTAAGTAAGTATTTAATATATAGTTAAATATTATATCTCTATAAAATAATACTTAATATTTTTTTTTATATATTTTAATTACTAAGACTATAATATTTTCTTTTTTATATTATTAATAATAATCTCTTTCTCTTATTATTATTAATCTTTAATTTTTTTTATTTCTTAGATAATAAGACTATAAGTAGTCTAGACCTATATTTTCTCCTCTTTTTATTAGGCTTTAGCGATAACCTCCTCTTATTACTCTTAAATCTCTTATAGACTAATATTATAATTAAAATCCCTTATTAGCTTTACTTTTTTCCCTCTCTTCTTAATATTATATCTCTTCTTAATCTAAGCCCGGCGGTTATTAATATAAGTAGTAATTATAGATTTAAGAATTATAGCTTCTATAATAATATTATATATCTAATAAAGCCTAATATATATAGGGGAGCTAAAGATATTATTATAGCGGTCTAAGAGTTATTTAGCGGTATCTATAGCGGCCTAGAAGCGAGATTTATTAGGGAGAAGGGAGGCATAGGCTAGGTTAATAGCCTATTTTGCCTAAAGCTACTTCTTAGCTAGGTATATTATTACTAGCTTAGGATTTAGTAGATAAATACTTAACTTCTCGAAGCCTAAGATAATATTATATACTATAAATCTTTCTTTAAAAACTTCTTACTTTAACTTAATAAGTCTATTAATATAAAAGAAGAGATATAACTTATCTAAAAGCTATAGATAAAGTTAACGCGGGAGAAAGAGATATTTCCTTTTTAAAGCTACTTATTAAGAAGCTTTTAATAAGTATTCTTTAATAGCTAAAAGACTTTAATATCTATTAGCTATAATATATATATAAAGTAAGGCAATAAAGAAGCTATAATAATATAAAACTTAATATAATACTCTCTAATAATAAAGACCTTATATCCTATAAAGCTATTAAAGATAATAAGTCTCTAGATAATTATATTAATAGCCTATAAGATAGGAGGAATATTATATTAAATATACTTTTATATAAGATCTCTAAGGAACTTATTATACCTAAATTACTCCTTAAATATCTTTCTTATATACTATGCCTTAGCGGATTTAGCCTAAGAATATTAATTAAAATATATTATTTACTTAAGAGTAATCTTATTATTAAAAAAGGCTATATTAGACTAGGTGAAATAGATATTAAGATCGGTATCTATATATACCTAATCTAATATAGGCTATATCTTAAAAATAAGCTATAGCGGTATTATATTACCCGCCGCATTGCCTATACTAATAAGGGTATAGGTCTCCCGGTTAAAAGGGGAAAAAACTTATTTCCTTATCCTCCGCTTTATTTATATAATAAGGACTTTAATATTTTCCCTAAGGATCTTAATCTTAATACTAGCCTAATTAATATTTTAATATTTAGAGGCGCTAATATTATAACTCTAGATAATCTTAATAAGGTTCTTAAATTATTATTTAAGGTTATTAAGACCGCTAGCTTCCTAGGACTTATAAGACTATTTTATAGCTTTAAGAAATACCTATTTAAGCTTAGGATAATTATTATAAAAGCAAGTATATTATATCTTACTAATAAGATCGGTATTAGGGTTCCTATATTAATAAAGGGTTATAGTAATATCTTCTATCTTAGGCTTAGAAGTAAGAAATCTAGACCTTTTTATCTAGATAATAAAGGCTATAATAGCTTTCTCTTTTTTATCTATAAAGACTCTTAGTCTATTAACTTAACGAGGCATAGATCTAATCTCTAGCCTTCTTATAATCCTCTAAATAGAGGCAAAAGAGGATCCAGGGTAGCGGGTATTAGCGGTATAAAGTAAGAGAGGTTAAGTTATACTAGTAGAAGTACTATAATAGAGGCCCTAGGTATACTACATATATAATACTATGACTTCCTAGGCGGCCTTAAGATTTATATTACTTAGCATAATAAAGATAAATATAAGAGAGGTATTTTTTATTAATTAGTATTATAAAATATAGCTAAAATAGGTAGTAATTATATATAAATAAGGATATTACTAAGTGCGGGGTCTATATTATAATTTTGTGGCCATATTATACTTTTGTGGCTAACCTAGCTTGCTAGGTTGGCTCGCCTGGGTCGATAGACCCACATGAGCCAACGGGTATATCGATGAGCAGCATAGGGCTATCGGCTTCCACGGAGTCGAGGTACCAACATTTGGCGGCACAGAGAGTGGCATTGTATATATTGTCTCTGCAGCCAGACATTCATCATACTATTACATTAGATTGCCGAAAGTAATCCGTTCAGGTCTAGACCATTCATTCAGAATGCCGTGTATGTGCTTACCCCCTGCAGATGGTGACAGCCCTTGACAATAGGGCGCAACGCCATGACATGCCACGCGGTGGGTCGCTCCCCACGAACCATTCATCATGATCAGTGGTAACATGTACGGGAATGCGAGCAAGTGATGCTTTGATTACAATCTTATCCAGTAAATACCATAGCTAACGCTTATAAAACCGAGTGTTCACTAGAGTCTTGCTGAGCAGTCATGGTTACCAGCCAACTCGCAAGTGTTTCCAACTAATGGCCAAAATAATAGCCATGACCGAGCCATTCATATGAGGCTGCCCACCTTGTGCAACTCCGGCCGGCGGCCTACCTGGGCCCGGCCCGGTACAGCATGACACCAATGAAAACTAGGCTAGCTATCAGGTATAAAAGCCAAGGTACAACCAAGCATGTACAGTCATGGATTTATCTCGTCATCGTGTCGTCCTGCTCGCTTACACCATGGCTTCCACAAGGTCGTCGACGAATAAACATGAGCCCACGTCACCTGACCTGGACAAGAACCAGAAGAGGTTTGTATTTATCATATCCAAACTTTGTACACACTCGCTCATTCTTTTGTGTCAAGGAAACTCCGTAACCGTCTCTCCCAGCGCGCCTTTCGTCGAAGACAAGCCGAGTATCTCAGAGATCTAAGAAACCGAGCCGAAGCCTCGCAGAAGCCAGACAATGAGAGAGTCGCCGAGCTCGAAGATGAGAACGGCCGTCTACGCGCTCACATCACCGAGCTACAGTCGCGGTTGGAGGGTGTACAGGTCACGCTTCAGATGATAGCTTCATCATCTTCCAAAATCCTTGGTCGATCTAAGAGTTCTCTGCCTCGCCAATCACGGATAGAAGACAGAGACTCGAAGCAGGAAGACAATGAGGCACCAAGGGATGACTCCATTACTGCTAATGAAGCACAGTCTGAAGCAAACCTCTGGCCACCCTTTTCCTCTGCTGCCCTCGAAGCTATCCAAATCCCCGACCTATCCTTTCCAACCAACGTCGATTCTACCATAGAAATCCTAGCCAGTGGCGCTGTTCAAGCGAGATCCAGTCTTGTCCGCGACGTCATGGACAGCGTAGACCCGATCGACCCGAACCTATCCAAGTCTCCTCTACAGCTACAGAGAACGCGGAGTGTCTGGAACTTCAACTATCAGATGGGGAACCAGGCATATATCGATGCTATCGAGTCTTGTGCGTCCTCCAAACCCACGAGCGGCTTGAGATGGATTGATTCCAACTCGCCAATCTTGGACCACAGGCAGATCTTGAGGAGACTGTTGCTGACCGAGCTGAAGCCGATGATTCGCGATAACCGATCTTTCCAGGCGTGAGTCTATTAGCCTCGAAGGCTAACAGATCGCTCTTGCACGTCATATAGGCTCTACCAGTCTGTCTCTGCTGTGCTGGCCATGTTCAACAGCGTCACTCGCCCCGGTGTCATGAACTGGTACGCGAAGACGAGGCTCTATCCACACAATCGAGCGAAAATCTTACCCTGTTCCCTCAGGTTTACATCTGTGGAGCAAACCTCATCGCAAGCATAGCTCTTCAACAAGGCGAAGGCATAGACAACATGGCATCCCTCCCAGCACCCGACATCAAGACACTCTTCTCATCCCCCGAGTGCGCGTACCTCAAGATGAACTGCGGAGCCAGATGAACTGTGGAGCCTTTTACTACAAGATCGGTCCCGTTTTCTTCAGCAAGTACCCCCGAGCTGTGGGATCCATCCGACGAAATAGTGGCCTCGGGGGTACCCCTGAAGCCGGGGACGCAGACGACGTTGGCGAACCCCAACTATGTCGATGCCATGACAGTTGCGACATATTGTAGTTTTATCAATTTTTTCTTTGATGCGGCTATAGCATTATCTCGGTTAGAGTATGTCTGATTAGTGTCTAGCCTTCCAACTGTCTATAGCGAGTTGGAATTAGCAATATTGGCGTTTATGATACCACTCTTTCTGTCATATGAAGGTATTAATACTAAGGTTCATATAGAATAACATATATTTTAAGACGTTGAAAGTCCATAGTGAAGCCATTTGTCAAATTAAGGAATACCTTCATCTTCACTTAACCTCATCGTGTCACTGTCATGCCATATCCTATAACTCTACAATCCCGTCCTAGTCTTGGCTCCCATGATGACTCCCCAACTAATGTCTGACGTAAATGCGCCGCCGGCGGGAGCGTCGATCTCGGACCGACCGCATGCAATATTCAACTGACACTTCTCCGCATTGCGTCAAGTTGTACAAACTACATAGCATGGACTCATCCCCTGTTCAGATCTTTCTCGCCAGATGACGAGTAGGGAACAATCTTTCAGGCAGAGACTACCAATCAGGAACGCCACCGCCAAACAGTCTACTAATAACGGAGGGCGTCCATTGCATAGGGCGCCTGACGTTGACAGTGAGGCGCTTACATCGACACTAGGGCGCGCTTCATGTCGATTCAAGGGCGTTTCTTCTCCACGACTTGACAAGACACGCGCAGGACGTCACAGACATCTCTGGTATGGACTTTGATAATGGCATGGAATTTGGTTTCCCTCGTCCAGATGTTTCATGTAGTCGAGCGGAGTGGAAGCTGCGGTTTGACTCTTACATCTCGGGTCATCAGTATCCTTAAGGGTATATGTTGAAAGTATTTTATACCTCAGAGACGAGATTATCAGCTATTTGCTCTGAATGATTGGCAATGAGAGATCAGTGAAGGAATTTGAGTATAATATATAGCAATGTCCCGAAACAGGAATAATCAAAGAGGGCACATAAGAGATAGCCGATAGGTTCAAGTCACCTCGTGAACCGGAGAAACCATTTTGACTACACCTTTGCATTCTATTTCCGGACTCTTCTGTCTAGGTAGTGATAGTCATCAGATCCCATCCACCTCAGCTTGCCGTGCTGTGAGAGTAGGTATAAAAAAAGTAGTTCAGAGGTAAACCTAGTTACCCAAACTCATAACTAACAAGAACACATCTTTGGTATTCACCTTTTTGTGATTACAATCCAGTCTTCTACCGATGATTTTAAGTAAAATTTCGACATCTCGTTCCGAAATATTCACTTCATAGGGCTGAGGAAGAAGTGGTCGTTTGTCATGGCCGTAGCCCGAAACTTCATCCCAACCTCGATCGTCCCCTCGGCTTTGGGTGCGCAGAGCATTCCAAAGCTCGGCTTAAACTTGAGTCCCGGGTCGATTCTTCGATACTTCATCAGCTGGTTCCAGGGCTGCCGTGGGTGCTTTTCGGCTGTGTCTGGGTCGACATTGGGTACGTGGCATCGCAGACAGCGGCATACGACGTCCATGTCAAGAGGCTTTTGATCCTCGTTGATCCGTAGTGATTTCCAGCCGTCTTCGTTCCACGGGATACTGCCACGGATGATGATGTTGGGGCGGAACCGTTCAATATCAATCTTGTCCTCTCCCGCTTGTGTTAGTCTCTCATTGAGCTCAGTGATGCTCGCCATGGATCCAACCTGTATGTATTAATAAGAGAGATCGATTTGCCGCAACCCCCAATGAACTCACCAGTACAGGCATCATGTCAGCAAACTTGATGGCCTCAGTACGTCCTAGACGATGAGGCGCACCACAACCGCGTAGCACACGAGGTGTCGGCCCCTTGTACACAAGACGAACGTCCATCTTTAGGAATTCCGATATCGGCAGGGTAAGACTCGCGGGATATTCCCAAGCGTCTGTCTTCTCGCCCCAAATCTCGGCCTTACTCAGCTCAGCGTTGCTTTCCAACCACTCAACACTCGGATGAGCCGGTATCTCAATCTTGTAATCATGCAGAGTAATAGTAAGCATGTCTGTATCAGAGTCCCAAGCCGTGCGGATAAGAGTCATGTCCGAGTTCTGCCGGATGGTGATGAATTCACGGTTCACGGCTGACATGAACATCCAGTTGCGATCCAGGTCCAGGCCGGTGCGCAAGAGCTTAGCAGACTTGACTTCAAAACCGCGGCATGATTTAACTGGATACACACGAAGGCCGATAATCTCATCAGGGTCGGGCAGCGGTAACGAGTTTGATGCAGATTGGCGGCGGAAGATGATGAGGATGATGAGAGGCAGAGTGACAGAGGTCACAATAAAGAGAATAGACGCCAATGAAGGGCTCTCCATAAAATCCAGGAGTACCATAGTGATCTCGCCAACGACGTGATGACAAATGGCACCGGTTGTTGTAAGAAGAGAGAGTTGACGTTGAACAGGTTGGCGAAGCGCCGAGTTTAAAGCTCCGCAAGCGCCGAGCTACGGTGGAGACTTGACCGTCATTCCTAAGGCGCAGAGTGACATTGGCTATTCACTTTGAAGATTAGATATATCATGCATGAGGCATACAAGCCAGCTCTACAGATCTGCAAAGAGACAAAATAAACTCCATTGCAGATATCAGACTGACTTGACGACCAGCAACATCGCCACCCGTATCATCACTCCATTCAGGGCCTTTCTAATCAACTCAAGCACAACAACTCGCATATCCCCATGTTCTTCATCTCGAGAGCATATTAAGCATACCAGGTACCCCTACAATAAGTATCAGTCCAGGACTAACCATGGACTCTTGCTTGATCCTCCTCCATAACTAACAAGGACACCCAAACAGGGCCAACCAGTCGACCGATCGTCAGGATCTAATATTCTAGCCGAGAGATCCGGCGACGGTGCTCTATTTCTGAGGAGTTACATAAGTTAAACATCACGTAAGAGTACAATGATGGCCGCGTTCAGTGGGGCCATCCAAGATGTTGAATCAGTGTTTTTTTAATCCAAGTTTGTACAATCATTTCTTATTATCTAAGCTCTAGCTGCTTGTGAGGTATACTTTAAATAGATCCCTATTGTTGAGATACTCCGAGGTGAGAGAGAGCCGCCCACGTGGAGTTTAATTCACACACTACGTTCGCAAGCTTCGGTCTTGATAAAACCTCATAGAAGTCCAAAAGATTAAAAATCTCAAATTATCAAATATCGTAACTTTCATATTGTCCTCTCGTCTCATAGAGGTAGAGCCAACGTGTCTAGAGTCCGCATACTAATAGCATCAAACATCACTATTGATAAAATATTAACATCCATACGAGCCAATTTCACTTATCACTACAGCTAAATATCACTAATGAAATTAAATTAACAGGTCGGAATCCATGCGGTCTTGTAGAAAATATGAAAAACATTACTCGAGGAGTAAATAGTTGAATGTCGCTGGAGGCCTCAGATCCATACCAACCAAATACCTGGATACGAGGTACTCAAACTCAAACGATAAATCCAAAGTGACCGTAATGTATTTGTATTCACTAAATACTCCATTCAGTCGGCTGTCGTACCAGGCAACACGGACCGAGACATATTGGTGCAGGCTGAAACATCTTCAACATTCTTAGCGACGTCGTCAGCCAAGGGAGAAACTGACTTGCCAACAAAAGCCATTACGTGGCACGTCAGTTTCCCCTTGCATTCAGATCGTCTATCTTACATCTCGATCGAAATGCGGTATTTCTCCCTCGGGTCATCCCAAGAACTTGGGATCGCTGACGCCATGGGGCTTGTCTCGCCTCACTCTTGTTCCCTTCGTTCTTACACGTGATGAGATATGCGGAAAGTTCTTCCCTAGTTAATAAATTGCCTCGGGTCTATTATTAGTCCAATGTTCTATGTGAATACGTCGAGATAGGCATTTCAAGGGTTTTCAGACATAGTGCAGGTGATATAATTGCTACTTGATAGATCAACTTGAACATCAATAGTAGCGTTTGGGGCATGTGATAGCCAATCCTAGTACAAAGGGTAAGAATTAAACTGTTTATGGAACGAGAATAAGCAATTCCCGGGTCTTTTCTCAAAATGCTTTGGTATCATCGATCTCACATTTCCTCACCGTCGAGGGCAGGATGATCTCAACTCATCGACGACCAGCAAGCACTGACTCGCTCGTGAACAGGCCTTTCGAGACTCCCAAGGCCCACATAGAAACAATACTCTCAACTAGTTGAAATGACAAGGCAGTTGTCTTGACTGGTTGCGGAGGCGTTTCATGTTGCAAACGGTTGAGACACTTGTAACCTCGAAATTGATCAGTCACCATAACTTCAATTCCATTGTCAATTTGCTAAGCGTTAGGGCCGTTGCCATCTGCTACGGGCCTGGGTAACAGGCCGAGGAGACTAAGGCCGCATTCGGGGTCGCCGCTCACCGGCCTCATGGTTGGACAAAGGGCGACCAACTGTCTCCGAGGCAACAAGACCGTTGACAACGTCGCACAAGTTTCCCGGGTACACGGTACCAAGACACGAGGTGGGCGAAGAAGGTAAATTAACTCCTTTCAAGGAAAGTTTACAATAATAATCGAGAGATATCCAGATGTAATACAATTGTAGGACTCTTTGCTTAGCCCAGGAGCCGGGCTGTTGGTTTCGCTCCCTGGGGGTTTCAACGGGATCAAGTTGGTTGTCTTTAACCTCAAATTTGAGTGCGGATTGGCTGGAGGTGAAAGCCCGCGGGATAAGATAGAGATAAGCAACGGCGGGGCACAACTCGACAAGCCATGGAGCCTTGTGTGCTGCCTCGTCATGCAAAAGAACAGGTTGCGAGAATTGTCATGCTAAAGGGAGACGGCCGTTTTCGGATGGTCGAGTCATATCGGCATGACGCATCTTTTGTCTGCAACCGTTGAAAGCTGAACCCGGATCCATCCAAAGGGAGGCTCATCATGAGACTAATCTTCCAAGGACAAAGCAAACCAGACCAAAAGCAACTGACATCATCTCTCCCTCCCGCTCCCGGATTGTGGCGCGCGGGGTGGCTCGCCTTCTGTGACGGAGTTCCGAGACCACCCCAGCCTCAGCCCAAGGGTGGCTCCGCGTGGGCTGAGCTCGGACTTGCGAACGAAGAAGCGCGTTTTTCCTTTTTTCTCCGCCAGGTGAGACAGGCCAGTCGAATCGGCGAGAGGAGCGCCGTAGCCGACGAGACACGCCATAGGCCGTCCGTCGGAAATGGCGGTGTGGCGATGAAGAAAGATGGCACGCGGTGTGTATCAAATCATGGCTCGTCTCATGTCTGGGGGGAGGGAGGGCACAACTCAACTCGACTCGTGAGTGATGAGGTTTTTCTCTTTCAACACTGTGACTGGACTGGACTGGACTGGTTGATGTGTGCGTGCACTCTTGTGCATGGTCTGTCAATGCAGAGATCACGGACGGAGGATGAGGTCTTGATGTTGTGACTGGTTGCGCTGTGATGCAGCTGGTCATGGTGGTGAGGAGGCTTGGAGGCTTTTCCCCTCATCGAGTGTTCTCTCATGGAGTGATCTCTCTCGCACAGTCTCTCCATTGTGCTCAACATCTTTCGTGGGGTTGAGCCGGCCGTTCACTCGATCCAGTGGGAGCACCTGTCAGTCACCTTGAGTTGTTCAATGCCGAGACCATGTTCGACAACGTCCGAGCAATGCCTGAGACTATGCAGGGATCGTTCTGCAGGGCGCCCAAACGGGACATGATCTCTGTCTCTCTTGTGTCTTCAGGGTAGACAGGATTGCTTCGTCGGTCAGCGCCCGTGTCTGGGCTGTCGCAGACTTTGAGCCTGGCAGGTTTGACTTTTGTGGACAATCCAGTGCAGAGTTGCACCATCCGAGCTCTAGATTCTCCCAGGCTTTGCGCTAGGTGAACTGAAGCACAAAGCATGGCCATTTCGGGTGGTAGTCCCGAGATCTGGAGAGTTCAGGGACGAACAGTTCTCGTAGGGACCACACGTTTGACGGACGGATCGGCGTGGGCGAAGCCCTCCCCCTTCAAGCCCTCCCTTCCCTTCTCTCCCCAACCCCTTGGCCCGGACGACGAGGAACAAAGAAGCACCAGGTTTAAACCTCCGCTAGCAGGCTCAAAGCCTGCCCAAAATAGATAGTGCCATCGGCCAACCCCTCCCCGCATGATGCTCTGGCAAATGACACACAGCGTCTGGGCATGCTCGTGGCGTGGTGGACGGGACGAGGGAAGCCTGACGAGACGCTTGGACGGGGGAGGCCACGATCAAATCATCAAAGACCAGTCCAGTGGCAGGGCATGATAAATCAGTGATGATCTAACCGAGATCGATTGGACGTGTGCGCCAGAGGAGGCGGTGGTTGGTGGTGGCCAGCGAGCAGCATCAGAACTGCCAGAGAACAACCCGACGGCATTCGAGAGGGTGTGGTGCGTGCAGCTGCGCGGCGGCGGGCATGAGAACCCGTTTGGCAAGGCGGCAAGGCAACCTCTCTGGCGTTCTCTACATCTTTGTTTACTTTGCCGCCGTCGTCACTCCTTATCGCAAACGCCCGGTTTTGATCTGATCGTCGACAGCGAGCGATAATCGTTGGAGACGGGACATGTCCCAGCGCACGCACAATCTCACCCGTCCTGCATTGGCGATGCACCCGCTGCACCCTCTAGGGTTGACCTTGACACAGTGAGTGCCCATACACGGCATACAACACTGTACCTAGACGCCCGCGCTGCGGCCGCTGTGGCCGAAGGAGTTCCTGCGTAAAGGTTGCGTGGAGCGTGGGCCGTCCAGGGCGCCAATCCAGGGCACACAAGAGAGAGCGTCCCATCAGAATCCCCTGCTCGGGCAGGGCGAGTTTACAGGGTGCGGGTGCGGGTTGCACGCAGAACCTGCAGGCGTGGGTTGGGTATGGGATGAGACGATCCGTTTCTGGCGGACAGCAGGCCAACTCAGGTACCGCAGGCGATGGCTAGATCCTATCCCTGGCCTTGTCTGGGTTACCCGTGATGGTTGTCAACTCTGAGAGGCTGGTGATGGTTGCTGTTGTTAAAGAAAGAAAAGGTTTGGGCTTTGCTTTGTCCTGCCACCGGATCTGGCATCATAGCGCTACCCTACAGTTTAAGTTAGTACACGGACAGTTCGGCAACCAACATCACACGGCACTTCCAGAAGCCCCAGAGATCAGAAAGCGACAGTTCATCTCGCTCTCTCTCGATTTGCCTCTCGTGGCGATGGCTTGCGAAGTCCCAGAATGGTCCGACTTTTTTGGGGGGCACAATCAACGGCGTCCCATTCGGTGGCTGTCCAGGGCACAGGGTCGCGATCTGCAGAGCGTCTCCCGACATGTCCACAATGACAGAATGGTACAGTGAGAGAGTGACTTTAGTCTTTCATCTCTTCCCTGTCAGCCCGCCACGTTTCCAATGGACCCATGCCCAGACGCCGATTGACACAACTTTGGGCCTCGTTCGCCCGCCGCTCATTCACTGGCACAAGAACCTGGAAGGGTCTCGAGGCCGCCAGTCACGGCCGGTGCCAGCCCTCCATCAGGTGGCCCAGAAGCCGGGAATTGCTCCACGGGCTGCCCACAGTGTAGGTCATGCACCGTGCTGCCCATCCATGGCTAGTGCTCACTGCCTCAGTTGGAGCGAGAGCGAGCACACACACAGACACACCAAGCATCCCACCGCAGCCCACTCGCCATCCATCACACAAGGGCTGCATCACCCCAAACCTGGCAGCCCAGCAGGGTTCACCATTGTCTGTCGCTGGAGCTCAGACCGCGATCGAACGCGAATGGATGTTTCCTTTCTTGCTCGGGGCTGGGCTGTGGGCGTCGGCACTGCAGCTCACCTTGCCTCGTTCACGGCCTCACCTCACACTCTCTGCACGATGCCGTTGGATTGGCAGCGGCAACGATAGCGGGATGATACACTCGACCTCCATCTAGATCGCATTGGATATGTGTGCCGTGGTAATCAAAGATTGCGGGGCACCAGAAGTCAGAAGTCGCAGATGAGAAACGCAGTCCCGTTCCTCTCCCTCACGCGCACTCGCTGTGGATAATAACAATTTCAGAAAATCAACAAACAAACCGTCAAACAATCCAATCAAGGACCGCGACGGGAGCGCTGCACCAGGGGAAAGCGCCTAATTACACGGCTCGAGGGCCCTGAAAGCGCTCTCAGAAAGGGGCTTGCTGCACTAGCACAGGGGAATTAGAGGGGAGCCGGGAGTGCACGCGGCCAAGACGGTGCCTGAGGATGGAATTCTCTAGATGGCTTGCCATCTCTCACCTGACGAACGATGCGAACCCCTGGAAGCCTGCCTGGCAGCCCTGTTGTCGGATGGGATGTTCCAACCATGGTAATTTTGGGGGACGGGAGGATTGTGGATGGACTTCAGGTCGTCAACAAGAGGCGCACGCTTGCACGGTCTAACAGCTTGGGGAACAAAGCTGAGAACCAGCGCCCATTCAGAGCCCATTCACAGAGGCACCAGTCCAGGACAGAACCCGCTGGAGTGTGCTGGGGGCACGCTTCGGCCAAGCTGGGTGCGGTCAAGTGACAAAAGACTGGAATGGGGAACACCGAGAAGGCCGCGTCGACCTGGCACTGGGCGTGCCGGAGTTGGAGGGCATGGCCTGGCACGAGGTCGGGTAGCCGCTGGGTTTCGGATACCACAGGTCATGCATGCCAGCCCCGCGAAGGCCAGGTATTGTCAACAATAGCTGCTAGCAGTGGATGGAGCTGACCAGCCCTTGGACGCACCAGCGACACCGTCCAGAGGTTTCGACTCGTCACTGTGCCGCCTTCAGTAACCCTCCCGGCAGGGACAAGGGTGGCCTGTTAGCATGCCACCAAGATTACACTGTGGCACATGCTAGTTCCAAAGAGATTTAGCGCCCTGTACGTCAACCCAATCATAACAAGGTGGCAAAGCAGGCGGGGCGGGCGTTTGCGGGCAGTGATTCGCTAAATTTGGGGCTTACCCTCATCTCCTTGTCCAGCAAGCGGTTCAGGTGGGTCCTGTGAGTGGGTTTTAGTGGGGTAGTCTGTGGATCCCTTGTCTAAACGTCCCCAACCAACAAAACCCGCCGCCCGCCGTCCCCGGTGCGTCCTGCGTCCTCCCACACTCAGCACCTTCTTATCAAAGCCAGCCGTCACCTCGCACCCTCACCCCTCGTACCTTCCTCGCCTCGCTTCGCTTCGCTCTACTTCCCACAATTCTCCCCCATCCTCCAAAAACATACTTCACCCAACAAACTTGCTTCTCTTTGCATCTTGATCCAAAAAGACGATATTCCCTTTTGTGACGCCTCGCACTTTATCTGTCCATCAACCACCAACGACGATAACGACGACTTGCTCAAGCACATACTTGCCTGTCTGTGTTTATACTCGACTCAATTAATCCCGCACCAACTCCGAATTCCCCTCCACGGCTCTCCAACTTGGCGCAGTCACATCTCACCCGGACGTCTTGGACTTTGACAACACAACACATCTTGAAAGCAATCACGCGACAACAGAATCATAATGTCTGCATACTACCACTACAACGCCCACCCCGCGCACCCTACTCCCGTGTCGCACAACCACCATGGCGGCCGAAATCGCAGAGCCCCCCGCCTGTCCGTCTCCCAGAATGCGCAGCGCCAGTTCCGAGGTGTCCGCAGCATGAAGGAGCTCAACGAGTCGGCATCACTGTCTGCCTTCCGCAACAAGTTTGAGACAAGTCGATCCTTTGATCTCGAAGACGACATGGAGTTTTGCCCTGGTCTGTTGACCGAGAGCGACGTGAGTTACCCTGGCGCAGCGCAATCCGTACCGGCGCATTCGCATTCGCATTCTTACTCACCCTTGGCAGTTGGTCTCCATCTCCAGTTCATCTGAGCGATCCTCACTAGCCAGCAACTCTCCCGACTCTTCCCCTACGCAACACGTCAACACTGTTGCTCCTGGCTTCTCACTCAACTCGTCCTCCCCCGCCTTCATCCCTCCTAGCTACCACCAACAGTCCAGCCTCAAGCTCCACCAACCCTCGGCCACTCGCGGCCGTAATGCCATTCCCATTATCAACCCAGCCACCGGCATCACCATGTCGAGCCCTCCCCAATCCGTGTCACCCGGACGGATGCAACAGCCGCTCCGCGGATGGTAAATGGTTCCGGACCACCCTGCATCACTGCAGGGTTGGCTCGCATGTCACTTCTCCGGAGGTGCATCTTGAACTGTAAACTATGTCCATTCGTTCTTGGCAACTGTTCATCTTGGCGGACACACCAAACGGCCGGGCTTGATTTTTGACATCATCTTCTCTTACGGGCTGGGTTCCTCGAGGCTTTGGATCTCCGCTTGACGCGGTGGTCCTCCCTGTTGGCTCCAACACTACGACAACCACGACTACCACCACATCCATCACTCACATTACTACCTCACCTGTACAAACATCCTTAATCAACATACCCCCCCCTTGTTTCAACCGACAAGTTTCAATGAGGATACAACTGGCGCGGCATGAGAAAGATCGATACCATTTTCGGCTTGGGTCACTTCTGTTTTTTTGCAACAAATCAAATACCTAGGGTTTGGGTGTCCGCCTCGCAAGCTGAGGCTGTCTGACACGAACGGGGCGTTTTTTTAATCCGCGGAGTTTGCATTTCAAGACGACATTGCATCGGTGTTTGACGGCACGCGGACGGGATTCTGATTTCGGCATGGGCAACTGTTTTGCTTTTACACTGAGGGACGCAGGGTTGGCGTCCCTATACTAACCAAAATGTCTTCTCCTCATCGAGGTCATGGGTTCATGAAGTCATCAAGAAGAAAAAGAACAACATAGAAGGAGTGCTTTTCACGAGCGGGGTCTTTACGGGTATTTTGATCGGTCGCATCTGGGAAATATCTTTTGGGCGGGGTGGTTAGGATCGGATTGAGACGAACGGTGTCGGTGCTTTGCAACAACAACTACTACAACAATGCCATCCCTTTGAAGTGGGATGAAAAATCTGGGAAACCATCGGGGAGTTGGTCGAATTTTCGGTTATCCCGCTGCTGCAAATGAACGGGAAAAAGGTCCATTTCTGCCCATTTTCATCCTTCTTTGTACCATTCTGGGACAGCCTATATATTTGTCCTCTTTTTTCTGTCTTCTTACTTGATATTGGTCGGGCTTCTTGAGCGGAATGGACGTGGGCTCATCTTGCTTTGGGGGACGGAGTGCTATGGAGCGTTGCTTGCTTGGTCTGTCTCGTCTCATCCAGGGAGGACGGCTTTTTCTTTACTTGTTACATGTTTGTCTCGCCTTCGCAAGCATCTGGAGTGTTGGGTGGTGGGAAATGACATGATCAGAATCAGTTAAGTTTAGTTGCTGGGATGGTTTTTGGGATTACGGGAGGCCCTCGTGCCTGGTTTTGCACTGCAGCGGTAGACTGCAATGTGTGGCTATTGTTAACTGGGTATTGGCGCTGTCTGGTTGCGACGACGCGGCTTCAGAGCTGCGAGACGAGAATACACGATTGTTCAAACATTTGATCATTCATCTGCTGTGAATTGAATTATGGCTCGAACTGTGATGTGGTCCTTGTAGCTGTCCAGTGAGTTGTGTATGCGTCTTTGTGTTGTATGTGTTGGTGTTGTAAAAATGAGACATGTGAAGATGAAGAGTATTGTCATGTCCTCTTTAAATCTCGAATGGAAGCTATAAAGGTATCCTAAAATAATAATTAATTAGAATATGTATGAGTTGAGTATTAATTAGAATATCTCTGCATTATCTTAGAATTATTTTCATAAAGTTCATGAAGAGCCTGAGCTTGCCCCTTCTGGTGTGTCGTGGAGCACAAAGATTGACATCAGTAATCAAGCAATTGATCTGGTCAATGGCTTTCATTATTCAACAGGAATTAAACTCTAGAAAGATCCTTCCTGCCTGTCTTTGGAGCAATTACTTGCTCAGATGTTCATCCCCCACATGTCAAAAACCAAGCTTTCCACGATCGTGATCATGACAGAAAACACGCTCAATTAGCGCTGGCGCTCAACAAAAAAAGACAGCACTCGATCGAAGCTTCCATTATCCTCGGTAACAATTACGATCGATCTCTTCCCGATTGGCCCGAGCTAACTCCCAAGGGAATGAAGGAAACATGAAGAGTGACGATGATGGTGACGTCACGGACGTGTAAGGGTAAGTGTCCCCTCTCTCCACCGAAAAGACGTAAAGAATGCGCCCGAAGAAAGGTATTAAGCTTGGATGACCGCCGCCTCGTTACTATCAATGATGATTCCTCCTCCTCTTCTTCATACTCATTGCTAATTGCACCTTAATCCGCCCTTTTGGAGAGAATACCCACGTGCAACACACGCGACGTACATACAAGCACCTTTAACAAAATGATGTCAGCGAGATCCATCATGGCAATGCGCACGGCGCACGCCAGCAGGGTCGTCCTGGGACGAGGCTTCTTCATCTCAACCTCTTCACGATTCGGACTCAAAGAGTCATCGACACGTACGTTTTCCCCTGTACCTGACTACCAACGCGCCGCTGACAATTCGACACCCCAAAGCAGACACAGACTTTGACAAGCACAAGCAAGACTCCCTAGCAAAGCAAAAGAAGGGAACAGGCCACTGGAAACCCGAGCTAGCGTCCGACAGCGAAGAGGCCGTCAGGGCGGATCGGTCGGCTGATGAGCCTGCTAAGGATTTGCAGGAGAGGACCAAGAGGGCTGCTGAGGAGACGGCCAAGGCTGGTACGAGCATGAGGGATAACATGTGATGTGGAGTTGGGGGGGGGGAAAGCTACCAAGGTTGTTACATGGGTTGGAGTTGGAGGTTGTAATAGCATCAGTCTGAATATTGCGATTCACCTTTGATTGAGTTGCTGTCATTGCTCATGTCTTGTTGCTTGGTCGTTGAGAGGCGGTTATGCATACATTTATTGACCATTGGAGGGAATAGGCATGCTGGTTTGCCTTTAATAGCACCAGACTGCCATTCTTCGTGGTACGGTATGGCATTTCCCTTGGTATTGCAAGTTCAATTGCGCAGTGTTTCTCGCGTCGCTAATAACTTGGGGTGCTTGTAAATGTGACGCTAACCACCACAGTCATTCACCGGGTCAAGGAATAACGACTACAGTATCTATCTCAATTTAATATAACATGGATGAATAAAGGGGACAATAGGCAAGATATAATAGCTATTGACCGTTCTATTGAGGTTGTTTTTTGGTAGTTTCTCGTGGGTATCATTTGATGCTTCCATACGAGAACTGCATTGAGGCAGAATGGATGAGGTGCACAGTTAAGACGAATCCCTCACAACCGTATCATCCCAATGTCAAGATACAGTCTCCCAACTCCATAAAGTTGTTGAAATGGCCTCAAAATATCCTCTCACTATTTCTAATTAATTAATCTCCTCTCAAACAAGACAATTCACCCAAACACCTCCTCATGCCTCTCCTCCAGGGTAAGACAACGCCAACGCAACACTCCCGCATTTATCGATAAGCAACCCCTCACTAGCTCGAGCCTCGATCCCAATTTATTTCCTCGCCGGTCTCGGTGATAACCTCCGAGGAATCCGTCCCAACCTCCGGCCTCTGCGCTTCTTCTCCTCACGGGGCTTCTCCAGCCCTTTTAATTCTTCTCCCCGAGGGCAAACTCCCCAGTCGTCGTCGCCATGTCGAGTCCTCATCCATCCTTCCAGTCCGCCCTCCTCGCTGGTGCGCTCGCTGGTACCACCGTCGACCTGTCCCTCTTTCCTCTCGATACCCTCAAGACTCGGCTACAGTCTTCGGCCGGTTTCTTCCCCTCGGGCGGCTTTCATGGCATCTACCGTGGTATCGGTTCTGCCATTGTAGGATCTGCACCCGGGGCTGCTTTCTTCTTCTGTACCTATGAGGGTGTCAAGGGTCTGCTCGCGAGGAAGGATGATGGTACGCCCGTGTCGAGGTGGAGGGATCCCCTCGTCCATATGGCCGCGGCTAGTGCTGGTGAGATAGCTGCTTGTTCTGTGCGAGTTCCGACAGAGGTTGTCAAGCAACGTGCCCAGGCCGGTCATCACGGCGGTTCTTCAGGTGCTGCCATCCGCGCTATTCTCTCCAAATACTCGTCCCACGGCTTCTTCTCCATGTGGCGCGAGCTATACCGTGGCTGGGGAATCACAGTCTTCCGCGAGGTGCCATTCACCGTGATTCAGTTCCCCCTGTGGGAGGCCATGAAGGCCTGGGGTCGCCGCCGTCGTGGTGGCCGTGAGGTTACTGGAGCTGAGAGTGCCCTCTACGGCAGCATGGCGGGCGGATTTTCAGCAGCACTTACGACACCGCTCGATGTGCTCAAGACAAGAGTCATGTTGTCCAAGGAGAGAGTTTCAGTCGCAGAGATCTTTGGCCGCATGGCTCGTGAGGAGGGTATCCGGCCATTCTTTGCTGGTATTGCTCCTCGTGTGACATGGATCTCAATCGGAGGCGCCATCTTCCTGGGAAGCTACCAATGGGCCATCAACACCATGTCCGGCTTGGCATGAAACCAGATCATGTCCAAAATCTCGTTTACACCTATACCTGTATGATATGACGCATCAAGCAAGGAGTCAAGAGAAGGGCTGCATGGTATAAAATGGGGAATCGATGCTTGTTTTTCGCGCTAATGCTATCTACTACGCCTCTGGGGCGTCTGACCTCTGTATATAAATGTATACACGATAAATCAACTCGCTGGGGATATAACAAAACGGGCTCCTGACACGACAGCAAATGAGTTGTGCTGATCAGGTAGCTGGAGTCTGCGGCTGAGCTGGTGCCTGTGCCTGTGCCTGGGCATTGTTGTCTGTCTCTTCCGTAGCCGAGCTTTCCTGAGTTTCTTCAGGCTCAGTCGGTTTCGGTTCTGGAGGGGGAGGGAAAGGTCGAATCTCCTTCTTGCCATTGGTCTTGTAGTAGAGGACGATGTCGTTACCTCCTTTCCAGAGATGCGTTCTGAGGGTGGCCAGAGTCGTAACGGGAGATAGAAGCTGAGCAATGTTAGTATTAACTTCGTCACTAAGAGTAAAAAACAAACTTGACTTACCTGATCGTTGCAGTACAGCTCCAAGTACTCCTCTGGCTTGTGCGTCTCCTCCTCGCCCTCCTCCAGTGGAGGCTCAACCCTCTCGGCAATGTATGCGAGAATCTTCCTGACCCGTAGCATGCGATTTGCGTTTAGTCTATTGTTCCCGTCCGCGGCAGTAATGGCAATCAGACTGTCGTCCATCGGGTGCAGAACAAACGAGACCTTGACTGGTTCCTTGATAGGCACCTGGTTGTGTAGGAGCACCTCACCGAGCCACATGGGCGCCTTCTGTTCAATAAGGTCTGCATCCTTGCCAATATCTTCCACTGTGCCCTGGTAGAGGTTCGCGCTACCGCCCGACGTCTCCTCCTGAATCACCACCTTGGTTCCCGGAGGAAGCTTCAACACGGGTGTATCGTTGGGCAGACTGGGTGTCACGCTCGTCTCGACTACCTTTTCAGGAGTTTCGACCAGTGACCGGTCGTACCCTTGTCGGATTTTCTGAATTACGCCGAGGAAGCTGTCATCAACCTCCTTTTCCTTCTCATGAACTGAAGAGGACTCGGATTCCTCTGCTTTCTCCTCGACAATCGCCGGCTTCTCCTGTGTCGCCTGTGACGCCGAACGCGCGAGCTTCTTTGTGCCAAACGACATCCTAAACTTTTTCTTACCGAAAGGCGTGCTTGGGGATTTTGTACTGTCGGCCCTCTCTTTGTCACCGTCCATAGACTTCTTCGAATCTGCATTGTCCTTGTCCTTGTCCTTGTCCTTGTCCTTGTCCTGCCCCGGGGCTGACACTAGACTTGCCGCCTTGACAGCCGACTCAAGCATTTGCAAAGGGCTTGTGAAATAGTCTTCCTTCTCTGTTGATGGTCGACTGACGTGTGATGCTCTCTTCTCTATAGGGCTCATGGGGCTTGAAGCAGCGTCCTCGGGGACTCCAGGCAAGCTGTTAGGGCCTGACATGATGCTAGGGCCAGGTGTTGCTAGACCAATACCAAAGCCGGGAGTGTTTGGGTACAGATTCGGCTTGGGCGTCACTTGGTCGGTATTGTCCCAGTCTGGTACTGCTGGTTTCGGCAAGGTTATTGATAGCGGTGCAGCAGCATCAGGGGCAGAAGCAGCGGCTGCCTGCCTCGCCTCGACACCTTCGTTGATGGTTTGGCGGTATGCCTCATCTCGCCTGATCTCTTCGTCGATGAGGTCGGCGAATAGATATCGAAGGATCCATTTTCCGAGGCTGACTGCGAGAGGGTCAGTCTTGTCCAGTTGCCAAATTTGTGCAATCATACTTACTTCTCTGGTCCTCTCGAAACTCGCTCGTGTCTGGTAGCTCGAGCTCATCGGCATATACTTCAGCATCGAAGCAGTTGAATGGCTCTAACACTACAGTGAGATTGCCTGAACTGAGATCGATTGAGCACCACGGTGCTACAGCCTCTACAGTGTTGACGAGGTGCTCTACGTCTTCCAAATGCTGTTTTCCAAAACTTTGAATAGGTTTGCACTACAGCAGTTAGCAGAAATCACTGACAAAGAGTTTGGTAAAGCAAACCTTGATAAGATCCCACAGAAGAACGTCTCCGGCAGTATCTAATGTCAGGACTCGTCTCCTATCGTTGAGCAACCTGTGCTTAAGCAGACCAAACTGACCCTCGATGGTCTCTTCGGGCTGATCATGTATAGGCTTGACTTCAGGCTCTGGTTGGTCTAGTACAACCTCTGACCCCTTGCGTGCAGTGTTTTCCGTGATAGTGTTGGAATCGGGATCCGGAGCGCTACGCGAAGGCATTGTGGCCGCTGCTGAGACTCGCAAGATGGAATCGGCAGGAATCTCCTTCTTCGACGTCCCATTAACAGTCGGAGGAGAGGCCTCACGTGGCCTGCTCGAGGCATTGGACGTGGCCCTATGATGTCGGAATGACTCTGGAAGCTGGATGTTGACGCTGGTATCAATATCCTCCCATCTGTTGATCGAGGACCTGTTTGTCGCAGTCCAGATATGACCTCCGGCGGCAACAACCTTGCCTACACCAATATGATCCTGTGCCACAGCAAGACTGAGACCGTCGTCCATGTCCTCAAGGCTCCCTCGTACATCGGTCTTGGCTACAAGGCCTGAACGATCGGAACTGTAGAAGACGCCTAGTCTAGGATCGTCTGAGAAAAGCGACCAAACACTTTCGTCGTGCATGGTAAAGGTGTACATGCATCGACCATTCTTGACACTCCACAACTTGATCGTCTTGTCGGCACTAGCACTTAGAATCGTATCGCCAGCGTCGTCAATAAGAATGGCGCGGATATTGTCGACATGACCAACGAGCTTGGAGACCTTTGAACCTGTTCGGGGATCGTATAGGCGTATAGTCTTCTCGGGGCCGCCACTAGCCATAATGTTCCGGCCAACTCGAAGAGCATATACCGATCCCTTCTCGGCAATTTCTTCACCTTTGACGTCGATCTCAAGCGTCTTGCCTGCGCCATTGAGATCCCATAGACAAATCTTGCGATCAAGGCCACCGGAAGCGATCCAGTTCAAGCCCATATCCTGGGGCGGGGTTGTCACACATTTGACGTAGTCGGCATGCTCGCCTATCGTGATAGCGCGCGTATTATCCTCCTCCGAGTAGGGTCGCCAGACCTTGACAGTAAGGTCGGATGAGCCAGAGACGAGGGCGGTATTATTATGGGCGAGGGCAATATCGTTGACCCAGTGCATATGGGCGTGTGTTTGGGCGTGGAACTTGGTCGTGTGCTTGGGTTTTTTGTCGTCCTTCTTTTCGTCCGAGGCGGGGGTCGAATCGACGACATCACTGCGGCCTTTGAGGTCGAGGTTCAGATCCCAAGCGCATACAATGCCGTCTCGGCCACCCGAGTAACTAAGCGGAACATGATATTAGTTCCAGGTCCAGAGGTGGCTGGGGGGTTACGAGGAGAGAGCTCACAGAATGGCGTTGTCAGTGTCGACCGCGAGGCCATTGACACCAAGTCGATGGCCACCAGCCGAGGCTTTGGCGTTCTCGAGGACTGCAGCGCATGTTAGGACTCAGAACCAGCACGTATAGCGCATCCATCGGTTTGAAGCCGATTCCAGGACCTTGTCTCGGCGAGCGGGGTCGCTGGAAGCTGAGAGACGCTGGGGAGGAGCTCTCACCATAGCTGATTCTCTGACGAGCCTTCTTAGCAGCCATGGCGTCACTGGAGAGACCAGACGGTCAAGTATGCGCCAGGGGGCGGAAGAAGGTAACACAAGCAGCGGGAGGGCGCAGTAAGAGGCGAACACGGGACGGGGTGGTAATCGTATTATGAATTTTCGGGTGCGCGGTGGGAAGATGGTGATGATTGCGGGATGTGGAAGCTCGAAAGTGGAGGAACCGAAGACATGGCTGGGCTGGGCGCAATCCAATGTGGATGGTGGAAGGCTAGCTCCAAGTGCCTGCCCAGGTGGCACCTGCCTCCGCGGGTCTGCAGGCGGTGGGCAGGAACATCCCAGGATGTTTTAGTACCTCTACCTGGGCTACTGGCCTGGAGGGAGGGAGAAAGTGGGCAAAATCTGCCTATATCCAGGCCTTCGACAGGGCTGTTGGGCCGTCGAACCGCCTGTCCTCACCTCTAGTTGGCAGCCGACCCTCCATGGTTGCTAATTAGGGCAGGTAAGACCTCGTGAGTCTGGGGGAAGGAATCCATTTATCCAGGATGGGAACCTGGAACCTGGACAGCTTCTGTATGCAACGCAACATTGGATGGACGGCCAGCCTTGGACCCCTTGAACCCCTGTCGCTCACTCGCTAGAATCAAACTCCGAGGTCCAGGTCCGGGTCCAGCCAGCTCCAGGGCGGGGATGGATCATGCCGGAGTTTGCTTCTGGCCCCCCGCCAGCCGTTGGCGAGCTGGCGGGGCCTAGCGCGGCCTTAAGGTGCGTCCTTTGTCCATCACCTGTCTCTCATTTGGCGGGCTGGATTTTTCATCCCAAGTCCACTTCTGTTCTAGAAGAAGTGGACGAACCTGACGACATGGGGCACGAGGGCTTGATTGCTTGCAGCGACATCTCGGGATGTTTCACAGAAGTTCCCTGTTGCTGCAGATTCCCGGCACTAGCAGGATGAGAGTCTGTGTAGAGCTTGTACTTGCGGGTTACCAGCGGAGGGTTGATATTGAGGTAGGTATCAAGTATATTCATTCGGCTGAGTGAGAGTTTTGGTGTTGACTAACTCAATTCTATACACAAAGTGTTAAATATGTGCTCTAGAAACTGCCAATGTCCTGTCCTGGTATCATCATGTCTCGAGACTCGAGGCTTCCTGTTCTCCCCATTACCTAATCGACCGGATCCCTCTCAACTATCCGAAAGTCCGTCTGCCTTTTGTTCTCCGTCTTGATCTCCGTTTCCCGGCGGACACTCATCTCCCGTATCGCGTGCTCTGCTCACTGGCAGACGCAGCATCCAACGCCACACCACCTGGTCGACTTCCAGCGCCCGGTCTTACCCTCGCACTGCGCGCAGTCGTCCTCAACCTTGGTGATGTCTTCACGCCTGCCGGGGCAGTCGTCTTTGTAGCATCGCGTGTGGCCACGCAGAACGCGGTGGCCACAGCGGTGCTCGATTATAACCGTGCTGCACATTGAGGTGATGGCTCTTTGCACCTGAAGATTGTCTATGGTTGTGTGAGTCAGATCGACAGCCAAGATGGGGAGAGACGTACGAATTATTTCAGCTCAATGCTGAAGATGAATAGATTACGTATGTGCCAAGCGATGATGTGAATCGCTTCAAAGTCTTGATGCAGATGACGAGCAAGTTGTATGCCAAGTCCAACAATTCATGATCGGCTGCTGCGCTTTTGTGTAGGATCCAGGTGCGAGACAAAGGCAACTGGCACAAGTCCAATATGATGAGTTGAATGTGAGGTGATGAATGGAAAGATGGTGGTTCAGATTGCTTCCGTCAGCTTAGCCTGATTCTTTCCAAGGCACGCATAGGTAATCAATATGTAAATGTAAAATCGAACGGCGAAAACGGGGGGGGACGGCCGGCAGTTATGTGTGCTGCAAGCCATGCGACACCTCGTAACAGCCTCCCCTCATCAGAGCTATTGAGCCTCAGCTATTAATCCGCCCCCGGGAAGGGAACAAAAAAAAAAAGTGACGTGGACTCGGACTCAAGGAGCGAGTTCGAAGCCCGTGACGCGGCCCGGACCAATAAGTGAATCTCGCTGTGGTGGTGGCCTCGTGCCCGATGACTTTGGCGTTTGCCGAGCCCTCCGGTTGGATACGAGCATCCCGTTGCTCGCCTTCTTTGACTTTTCCGTCCTGGCCAAGGGAAGTTTACGAGGATGTTGACCTTGTTAGTGGGTTGATCTGGTGTTACGTTTGAAAAGTCACGCCAATGGCAAATGAAAGCTCGTTGTTTTCCATTAAACATTATGCTATTTAAGTTGTTCTGAGATTGAGTTCTCCATGAGGTACGTCCTCTATACACCGTTGTCCATCGCCTGCATCATGTCTTGGCACTATTCACCATCTACAAAACGCCGTTATCCTAAGCTTGGCCGTCAAGAATATTCTCTTTGCTGAACGGCACCAAGAGCGGGGCTGCTTCTGTAGTGCATCACACCACCGGCAATTTATAGTGAGTTGTGTCTCAATGGTTTGACTGCTATTGCATTTCCATGGTTGGCGGCACCGAAAGACACGCTTGACCTTGGTATGGCCACAGGCGCAGATATCAACGAGTCGGAAGCACATTGTGATATTATCAGTTTCGGCGTGATTAGAGAGTGGAGGAAGCTTTGGACGAAGGGAACAATTTATAATTCTTTCAGTAGAGAGGCACGAGGTCTGAAGTGGGTTAATGTTCTGAGAACATGTATGATATTGAATCAGGATAAAACAAAGTGCTTGTCAATCTGATGAAAGAACAGGACAAATGGAATACGAGCATCATTTCGCGTGGCTATTTGAACAAAGCGCCGCCTTGCCAACCTTCTCAGATGGTTTGTCTCCGGTCTGGCTGCCTTGTTTCAGTTGGGCTGGCTTCAAGGAAAAGAATGAAATTGGAACAAAGCTTCTATGTAACTAGAAAATGACTGCTTTGAAGAATGCGAGTCTTAGACGTGGTCTACTTGCTCACCCTATGATGATCTACAGAAGCTGCCTACACAATCATGGCTCTACCCTCTCTTGTATCTCAATCCTCGAGGCATTGGATGCATTTGGATGTGAACATGTCCCACCAATCATGCAACTAGTTGCTGTAGTCAATTGCCCAAAGCACGCCCCAATCATCCCTGAACAAATGCGGACAAGGCCTGGGGTCTGAAAGTCAACATAGCACAGCATAGGTAGATAGGCACAAGACACTAAAGAGCAGCGAAACATCGTGGCTTTGATGCGACCACATCTAGGTATAATCATTATATTTTGCATACCCTAACGCCGTGCTAAGAGTCTTCCAATCGGCCTACTCTAACATCTTCCGACTTTTATAGCTGTACCCGCATTCTACCTGGTAAACTTGCCGCCTCGGCCTCCTTGTCGAGGCTGGCTGCCGTACGCCCTGCGACCCTGGTTCTTCTTGTCCCTGCTCATGCTGGCGCCGAGTGTGATCTCCACTCGGGGAGGCACCGAGAAGCCAAAGCTCTTGGCCACCTTGGTCAAGTCCAGCTTGTTGATGTCAAAGACGCTGCGCAGCGAGTGCGAGGCGTATGCGTGCAGGTAGCTGCGATAACCGTCCTTGGCGCTCTTGTTCAGGTAGTAGTTCTGGCTGATGAGCTTCTCGAGCTGAGACTGCACGTTCTGGATCTTCTTGGGGAAGTCAAACTCGACGACGGGGACGCGGGCCGCCTTGAGGTGGGAGAGGAAGCCGACTTCGCTGGGCTGGAGGAACATGAGGGATCGGCCCTTGGAGTTGCTGCCTCGAGCGGTACGACCGACACGGTGGATGTAGTCGCGAGGGTCATCCGGAGGGTCGAACTGGACGATCCAGTCAACGGCAGGAATCTGTCGCTGGTTAGTAAACTGTCGAGAATATTTATCCAGCAATACTTACATCAAGTCCACGGGCGGCGACATCAGTGCAGATCAAAGTGCCCTGCTTCGCGTTGCAGAACTCGAAGAAGGTGTTGGTTCGCTTCTGCTGCTTCTGCTTGCCGTGGAGGTCGAGGACGGGAAGATCGATGTAGTTGAGCAACTCGGCGTGGTACTTGACACATGCGCAACTGCTGAAGAAGACAATGACCTTCTTCTTAATGTTGCGCTTTAAGAACGAAAACAGAAGAAGGAACCGTCTATCGGCTTCGCAGATAACGTAGCCCTGCTCGAGACCCTCGACTGTGCTGAACTGCTTCTCCTCGTCCACGTTGATGTACAGAGGGCCGGGGCGCAGCGAGATGCGCGCCAAATCCTCGACCTTGGTAGTCTGAGTGGCAGAGAAGAGCATAGTCTGTCGGTCCTCCTTGGGAAGGATCTTGATGATCTGTCGCATTTCATCCTCGAAACCGATCTCGAGAATTCGATCAGCCTCGTCAATGACAAGAGACTTGAGGTTCTTGAAGACAAACGGGGTATTTTGCAAGTGATCGAGCAGTCGTCCAGGAGTAGCGATAATCAGGTTGACACCCTTGGAAAGCTTCTCAGCTTCGGCGCGACGGTTTGCGCCTCCAATAACGATGCCGTATGTTTGCGAGTGGTGAGCCATGAGCTCGCGGGCAACGCCAAAGATCTGAAGCGCCAGCTCACGGGTGGGAGAGACGACAATGACACCGGTTCCGTTGCGGGGCTTGAATCGGAGAGCGCTCAGCATCTCAACGACAGGGATCAAGAAAGCCAGAGTCTTTCCAGAACCAGTCTTGGCGGCTCCGAGGACGTCGCGACCAGCCAACGAAGGAGGAATACCTCTCCTCTGAATCTCCGTCATCTTGGTGAAGCCCATCTCCTTGATCGCCTTCATTGTCTTGTCGGAAAGTTTCAGCTCCTCGAACGATTGAGCTTCGGCACCGGCGACGGGAGGTAATGTGAGCTGTCCACCGTCGGGGAGATCTGTGTTGCCCTCCTCGGCATCATCCTCCTCTTCCTCATCCTCATCTCCCGACTTGGCGCCATCCTCTTCCTCGTCGGCCTCGTCACTCTCTTCGTTGTCCTCTACCTCGTCCTCATCTTCCTCGTTGCTGGAAGACTCGATCTCGGGTTCTTCGCGGGGCTCAGGTTCGGCGCGCTTGACTTTCTTCGATTTTTGAGAAACACTGGGGGCAGACCTCTTTAATTTGGCCGCCTTGACGCCATTGGCGTCCTTGAACTTGCGCTTCTTGCTTCCAGTGAAATCCATCTTGGTTGCGCGTGCGGTGGTGATTTGCAGCAACTCTCCTCTCACGGCTCTGTTGGAAATATTTTCTTATCGCAAAAAAAAGTCATGGATAACGCATACAAGTTTTTCCGTTCCTCTCCCATTAAGGCGGAAGGAGCGAATAAGGTTACAACAATTCCCCTTCTGCTGAGTGACCCTCCCCGCAGTGGGCCAGCGGCAAATGTTGCTTTGCGCTTGCCTATTCAGTGCTAGCGCTGCGTCTGAAGGGACGCAGAAACCAAAACCAATTCCTGCGGGCTGGGTCAGGTGATTTGCCAAAATGTGCAAGTGAGAATCGTAGAGAAGCCAGACATTCAAGATACAAAGGTACTATGCGAAAATCAATAGTGAGAGTAACCATGCAGTCTCTTTGACGTAATCATGAGTCAAGTGATCAAGTGCCCAGGTCAAAGCTCAAAGGAGGTCGGAGCAGTTGACAATATCAACCGGTGAGGCCCTCCAAAGGGAGCAGGGCGACCAGGGCTATCACCAGGCGCTATTTCCAATTATAGTTTAGTGCGCAGTCACGCCGCCTCAGCAAAATGGAAGGCTGCACTGCAAGGTACCTACCTCGAGCGCTGGCTGGGTCGTCTCGACTATTCCTTCCCACTCAGATTTCCTTCCTTCGTCACCTGCCCGCGCTCAACCTCCCCAAGACATCAACCGCGAGCGCAAACCGCACACTCCTTTAGCATCGCGGCAGTGTGAACCCTCAATAGGCGACCGTGCCATCTTGTCCGCGACACGTTGCCTTCTGTGCACGCCTTCTTCTCGGTCCGCGCAAAGTCTTTGACCTCATTGTCATCTACGAAAATTGTGACCCCGGCAGATCCGTCCACTGTTTGCGATCACCTACACTGAGCGTCTTTGTTTCGCTGTCGCCTTTGTCTGCTCTTCCAGCTTGAGGCTTTGCTATTAATTCTTCTCACCTCGCCGAGTTGCCTCCCGTTTACTCGCGTGCTCCATCAGCCACACAACACTCTCAGCTTCACTCTTCTGCTTTACCGATCGCACAAATGGCGGAACCACGCCCTGATATCCAGAGTATTCTGGCCGCGCTTGGTATGTTCATCAGACTCGCCTGTATGAAGTTTTCTGACTGACTTGTTCACAGCGTCGCAGCGCCCACCAGCAACGACCCCTACTCAGACACCTCCTGGCGCACCCAGCCAGGCCTACCCCCCACCCGCGTCCACTCAACCCGCGTCCGCATACCAACCGCCCCCTCCTGGCGCCAACAACTATGGCGCTCCTGGATACAGTGGCCTACCCGCCCCAGCGTCGAGCGGAAACGTTGACCTGAGCTCGATCCGACCGGTCAACTCTGGCACCATGAGCATTGCCGATGCTATTGCCCAAGCCAAAGCGTTCGCGGCCGAGAAGGGTGTGGCGTCCTACGATCGCCCGCTCGTTTACGCCTCTGACTCCCGAGGCTCCGATCGAGGCTATAAACGGTCGAGATCGCGATCTCCCGCTCGGGATGAGTTTCGCGATGGCGTGAACCCATATCGCGATGAACGACGTGGCGACCGTGGGGGTCATGGTCGGAACTACGATCGGGATCGCTCTTATTCCCCCGGTCCCCGTGGTCGAAATTTCTCTCCTCGAGGAGGAAACGGACGGGAGAGGTCTCCTCTTCGAGGGGGCGATGACAATTCTGAAACTATTCAAATCGAATCCAGCCTTGTCGGTCTTATCATCGGTCGACAGGGAGAAAACCTCCGACGTATCGAAGCCGAGTCGAACTGCCGAGTGCAATTCTTGACCTCTACCGATGGAGGTCCCTTCCGGCAATGCAAGATTTCTGGTCCGCGACACCGTCGGGCTGAGGTGAAGGAAGCTATCAACCGGATTATCGACGATAGTGGAATGGGCGCCCTGAACCGCCCTGACAAGCCTCGTGATCCCAACAAGGGCGGCGCGGCGGCTCTTCGAGAGGGAGAAGATCATATGCAGATCATGGTCCCTGATCGTACCGTTGGATTGATTATCGGACGTGGCGGCGAAACCATTCGGGACCTCCAGGAACGATCAGGCTGCCACATCAACATTGTAGGCGAGTCCAAGAGCGTGAACGGACTACGACCTGTCAACCTCATCGGCACCCGAGAGGCGGCTGCCCGAGCGAAGGACTTTATCATGGAGATTGTCGACAGCGACAGCCGGGGGGACGCGCCCGCTGCTAAGAGGATGGGAGGAGGAGGTGGCGGCGGTGGTGGTGGTGCCCGACATGATGGCCCTCCGCGAGATATGGGCGGTGCCGGTGGCCCTGACAAGATCAACGACTCGATCTACGTGCCTTCTGATGCAGTAGGTATGATTATAGGCAAGGGTGGTGAAACTATCCGTGAGATGCAAAACAGCACCGGGTGCAAGATCAACGTTGCACAGTCGACAAATCCTGGCGAAACCCAGAGGGAGATTGCCCTGATTGGCACGCGCGATAGCATTGCTCGAGCCAAGCAAGCCATTGACGAAAAAGTTGACGCTGTGGTAAGTGATGGACACATGCCTGATGTTTATAACGTAACTGACAACTTGACAGCGCCAGAAGGGAAGTGGAGGCCGTAGCGGCGGCGGCGGCCGTGGACACCAGGACCTCGACCGGCCGAACTACTCTCAACAGGGATCCGGTGCTCCTACTAACCAGCCAGCTCCAGCAGCTTCAGGTGACGAGCAAGATCCTTACGCCCAATGTAAGTTGCTCCGCGTCATTTACGTGTAGGATCAACAACTAACAAGACGATAGATGGTGGCTACCAGAACTACGTGGCGCTCTGGTATCAGTCCCTGATGTACCAGCAGCAACAGGGCGGACAAGGCACACCCCCGGCTCCTGCACCTGGGGCATAGTGATGTCCTGTTGGCAACTGCACGCTCTCATGCTTGGGTGACCATGATCGAGCTCTCGTCCGCAATGCCGCGGATCGAGTGCACCATCTGAGATGCCTGGTTTGATTGACGTCGATGCATCCTTCTGACGCCCTTTGACTTTTTTCTGGACTGCTCCTCAGAGTCTTTTGACGAGACCCACGACTGTACAGCACCCCTATTCGTTTCTTGAGGATCCCTTCGACTCAAGGTCCAGACTCTTTGATGACGTATACCATTTGACCCGACCATTGACGACATTAATACTGAGGTTCATGAGCGGGGACGACGTCCATGGTTGTCCTGCTTTGGCCTCGCTCGTTCTTACATTGCCGAAAACTCAAGCAGATGCTGAATGCCTCCACGGATGAGGACCTCGGCCTCTCTACAGTTGACGGCTCTACTTCCAAACCACAGACAAACAAACATGATGGACGCGGGAATGCCGACCTGGCTACTCACGACTAACGCGTTGGTGATGACTCGCGACCTTTGATGCACCTCGGACATGAGCATGACGTACATCCTGAAAGCTGCGACTCCAGTCGTGGTGTTTCTTGCCTTGAGGCAGTGAGCCAAGTTTTTGATTGGATTCATTTCATGACATGACGTTTGAGCTTGTGCCTGGTGAGCTGAGCTTGCAAGCCATGGCAGCAAAGCTCGGAACCTGGAACGGTTTAGTTCAGCTGTGTCTATCTGCTGGCCCCCTTTTCGAAGCGACTCGACTCATCTCGTGCGTCTTGGATGATACAAACGTGTCTTCTCTTGCAAGTGGATTCATCGTTTCTATACCTATGTACCTATGCGTCTTGCCTCGTCGTCGTCATCTGCATCTGCATCTGCCCTCTCGCTATCGTCTGCGTTTTTCTCCGGGTTTTGATTCTAGTTCCACGACCCGTATCTGACATTGCATGCATGCCATGAGGAAGGGAATGTATACATGTACTTTTGGTGGCGGTGGGGGAACGGAGTTGGGGATTTGATTGCCTTGTACATCAGTTGACTTGCTTGCTTAGCATAGGCTTTATATACAACCGGTTTATCCAGTAAGCATTGTCGTTGCCGTGAAGTTTGTGTTTCGGGTGGTGTTCGTCTAAACAAGTTCATTAAGATGGATCTTGGATAAACCATCTATCGACTTGTGTCTGCCACTCGGAGTAAGTACTTGGAGAAGTGCCTTCCCAGCTGGGCCATGTTTACTTGCCTGCCTCTCTGGTCAAGTAGGCAGGCACTTTGGGATGAACTGTTAATGATTGCTCTTCCTTTCCACCTGCGAGGCATTGACCCGCATGAGCAACCTCAGACAAGCAAACCTCTAGTCTTTATTCACGCTGTCGACGTGAACATCTTTGTTATCACAGCACTTACCACCGCTCGTTACGCCTATTCTTATACCACGGCATTCTTTTTACTCGCACTCGTTATCCTCTATCCGCCATGTCTGAGCACAACCCCGAGAACGAACTAAACAGCGAGGACGCCCATGACTGGTCCCAAATGGATTAGGAACCCACCGATGAAGCACCAATGGAGGAATACATGCAAGATCTCACGCACGACCTGGACGAGGATGCTTTAGAGATTGAGGATACGCCTGAAGTAGATGACTTGGAGAACGCTCACAGGCCCGACGACGATGTCACAGTTGATGAGCACACATCTTACGAAGATGTCCCTGAAGATGTTGTCGCACCCGACGAGGTTGTCCCGCCTGCACCTACGACGCCTGATCGACCTATCCAGCAACACCCTTTGCCCCCGACGGTGGATAACACTGACTTGAACAATGAACATATTGCAAATCACTGGGCTACTGTGGAAGAAATGCGGATAGCTCAAGCACGACGATATATGGCTGCTGAGTACAGGGATCACCTTCACCGGCAAGCAGGGCCACACATGCGCCGGACTCGAGATGTTGCGGCCAGGGACGACAGGGCCAGATTAAACGCCGAGCTCATCGAAATCGTTGCCAGCGTCCACCCCAACGCTCCTAGAGCTCGGCTCAGAGCGATCAGTAGATACCGGTGCCAGACCTGCGGTTGCTGGACGGGCAGAACGAGGGCCACCCCAACTGAATGTATCATATGGGTATCCGACGCATCTTGCTACTACTGTACCTAGACGGTATCGCTGTCACTTGCCACAGACGAAACACCCGATTTGAGGCAGACCCTCGCCAACGCTGAAGATCATGTGCGATCGGGGCGAGCGGAGTGTGGAAGAGAACGGGACGAAGCCGAGGAGAGAGCGGAAATCTTGCGACACAGAAGGGTGGCAAACGAAAACAACACTGAGAGTCGTGTGAGGGAGCTTAGACACTACAGGCGGGCTGAACACTACGGTCGGCTTGAACAAGAAATGCTCTTGTTCTTTTCGGAAGGTGTTGAGTGATAGGTTTGGAGATGAGAAAGTGTTGGAGAGCGATGCGTATGGCAGTCTAGGTATCCATGTGGAAGCGTGTGGTTTGGGAATGTTATAGGATGGCTTGAGTAGAATGGAATAGAACAGCGTAATGTGATATCATTTTGATAATATGCGGTTCAACGAAACTTGAGATGGGAAGTGTAGGAGCTGAGGCATCCCCTTAACCCTCAGCACTAAGTTGAGTAGCCCTGACATCTAGCCTTGCTTGGGAGAAGCTTAACCCATATACTTATATTGGCGGATATGATAGGGACGATGTTACTGGAGACAGAGTCATAGCTTCTAATCTTCATCTCATCTAGTTTCGTCTCATCGAGGCGTGTCTGGTGCACGGCCAGCACAGTAATCAGCACTGATGTTTTGGAGTCTGCAGTGGCGTCTCGCCTGATGTTGAACCACGACACGACCTGCACAGTACCACTGAGTACCGTGCACCTCATCTACTGCAAATACGATCGCCAAAGATGGCACTGACGTGACGAAATGGTCCTCGAGCTAGCGGCGCCTGGGACATCCGTATTGGAGCTGGTCTGGTGTAACCGAACTCCAGGCACGCAACCGCAACGCACCGCCCGGCGGAAGCTGGCTTGCCGGGGGAGGAGGCTAGGGGGATCCGGGGATCAGTAAAAGGTGGATGGGCGGGCAAAACGGGATCCCGCTCTAGGGAGGGAGGGAGGCGGGCGTTGCCTTGCTGGCTTGGTGCTTGGGAGGGACGGTTGGCGCTGATCGTTGAGATGCCGATGCCTCGGCCGGGTAGTCTCTTGGGGTAGCAGGGGGTGGTTGAGTGTTGGTTACACGAGGGCGGGTATTTTGAGCATGGATATAGTAGACGAGATGTCATGTTGGAACAGTTCGATACAGCATTGGAGTTGTTAGACGAGCACATACATACAGTCCTGTAACGGTGATAAGTAATCATTTCAGGGCCATCATGATGAAGCTAAATAGAGAGACGGCATGTTCCGGAAACACCGGTTCGGCCAGAGGCTTCTCGACCAGGAGACTCCTCAAGAGGCTAGTGGTCCGGTCTAGAACGCGAGACGAAGGCGTTCGGTTCGAGTAAGACTGAGGGGGAGGGGAGAGAGAGGGGAACGAACGGCCGTCAGTTCTTGGTCAAAAGGACAAAAAGCTTGACATGACTTGGCGGGAAAGCTTGTCGCCAGAAGCCGACGAGACGAGACGAGATGAAAGAGGCGAGAGGACGAAGCGTGTGCAAAGTGGTGTTGACGTGATGCGACTGGCTGTGGTACGTACAGTAGCTTAGCTCTCTAATGCCGCCTGAGAAGAGGCGCTAGATCAATTCCTCCTTCTTACACATTCATTGGGGAAACTAACGTCGACGAGGCATCCCTACAAGTGATGAGCACGATGCATCCATATGCTTTTTAATTTCGATTTCTTCTTTTGTCTCTCTTTTAATTCTTTCATCTCCATCTTCAATCGAATAAACTGTCACTACCGGGCTCTCTCCACTGTTTGTCTCCCTGTGGGCCACCATCACCACCAGCCAGACCTAGAACCCCCCCGACCCACGAATCGATACCGCGCGCGTTCTTGGCCCCAAAAAATATGACAAGTGCCTTTTCGCGTCTGGCCTTGATCACCGTTGATCCTTGAGCTGCCACTGCCTGCCTTGTCTGTCCCGTCCGTCTCGTCTTGTTTCGCCGTCCCGTCCGGACAACTCGTGGCATCTTTTTTTCTCAACAACATCATCACCCTCTGAGACAAATCCCTCTCTCAGGCCTTTTTTTCTCTCCTGCGCAATCAAAAAAAAAAAAAAAGCTGATTGCCTCAACCAGAGGCTAAAACGTCTGATCATCAGGTTAGCTGCCTTGGGTCTAATTCAACCATTTTCCCTGCCCACTGACCCTCGAAACTTAGGCTAGACCAAGGTAGGCCATCCTTCTGGCCACCAAGAAAAACCATGTGTCGCATGGTCGTCTTTGAAGGCCTCTGCACGCGCTGCGGCACGCCCCAGACCTGGACAGACTTGACCCAAGAGCTATCCTGCCTCGAGGCCAAGAATAAGGGCTGCTTTGGCCAGTGCTCGCGCGGCATCCACGTCGAGGAGCACGACTTTGACCAGGAATGCAACACGTGCGCCGACGAGGACGAGGGCATCGGCGACCTCGACGAGGCGCTGGCTCCAGCGGGCAACAACTCTTTTCAGCACTCGATGAGCTCTCACCAGAGCAACCCCGGCAAAAGCAACCCCAGCAAGAGGGGCGCTGCCGAGGAAGCCGGCGAGGCGAGCAAGAAGCAGCGCACCTAATCAACTGATGATGTACGATCACGAAACTGGCGGTTTTTTAATCTCTTTGGGATTGGATCTTGTTGTTTACTTGCTGGGCAAGTCTTCTAATGGCGTTGATTATTGGTCTGGGAATGCGTTCTAGCGCAGAATGGTTGGCTTTTTTTTTACTCCAGTGTTTCTGGAATGTAACATTAAACCTTGTCACGACTATGGGCACAAGGAAAGACTCGAAATGAGTATGGAAGGGAAAGAAGAAAGAAAGGAGAATGGGCCCTTTGAGGCAAAGATACCCAAATATATCAGCAGATACAACTCCACAAGAAGATGGAGAAAGAAACTTAATACGTAAGGCTCATCACCTTGTCTTCCCTTCCCACGTCTCCTTGACTACTCGCCAGTATCGTTCTCCGTCGACCCTTGCGTGGGTAACATGCGTTCCCCCTGGAAACATCTCCATCTTGACACTCGCTCCCATCTTCTCAGCCTGCTTTCCATGTTTTTCGACATCCTGCCACATCACTGACTTATCCCCATCTCCATATATATACACCCTCTTCACCTCGCGGGCGATCCTCCCCGCCGTGTTGAGAGCCAAGGCGTTGGCTTCTTGCGGTTCCACTCGTCCCCACGGTATATAACACGCCCACGCAGCACCTAGGAATGCCCAGACAAGAGGAGACGCCCAGAAGGGGAGACCCAGCGAGAGGACGTGGTGATTGGTCTTCCAGTGAAAGACTCCTGGGCAAGAGTCCATCACCACGACGTGTCGAGGAACATCTTTTCCGTCGAGGGCTTCTTCCCAGAGATCCCAGAGCGTCACGGCAGAGCTGACGCCACCGTTTGAAAAGATGTGTAGCAAGAAGCTTGGCTCGTCTCCCGAAGTCTTGGCGAGGTCTTGGAGGATGGGGACTGCGGGGGAAAAGAGACGACGGCGGAGGGAGGGCTGCATGTACATCTTGAGGTTGGAGCGGAAGACGAGGATCGCGGAGCTTGGGTAGAGGACTCGATGCTGGACAATGTACTTTTCGATATGCGACTCTCGGGCATCCATCCACGCCAGGAGGATAATGAGTCGTGGATCATTCTCGTTAGGGGTCGACAAGGGGGATGACGAGTAGGCCACGGCCGAGCTGAGAACATCCATGGAAGGTATCGTCATGATGTCGGTTTTTCTTGACAGATACTGCTACGTTTCTCATCTTTTTACTAGAAAAGGGGAATTTGGTAGAAGAAATAGAGCCTCGAGTGCCAAGACGGGCCCCTTCCGGAGGCGTTCCGTTGCCGTCGGCGTCCAAGAGGGGCCGTGCTCCGCTGGGACCGGAGCCGGCGCGGAGGAAGTGTTGGTTGGAGACGGAGAGGCGGAGAGATTTTAATGCATGCATATGCACAATAATCGATGTAACAATAGTGTATAAATCTAAAAATGAATTGCTAGGATAATGCTCGGTATCTAATCAAGAAAAAGACGCCTCGTAAACTTCCCCATTAAGCATCCATCTCTCTAACCGTCAAGATCTGCCTCTCTACAACGTCAAACACCTTCATAGCCTCATTCTCAATCTTGATCTCCTCGACTCTCTTCTTGAAGCTATCGTCTCCGAGAATTATCTCTACGCCGGCCCTCACTTGCTCAGGGCTTGGCCGTCCGGTGCGCAGGTTGACGGCCACACCGCTCCACTGGCCGCGCATGGCGATCTCGGGTTTGTCTTCTGTCTCGCCCGCGAGAACCAGAGGTACGCCGTTTGTTACGCCGTGGAGGAAGCCTCCGTAGCCTGCGTTCATGACAAAGACAGACGCGTGAGGGAGGAGCACGTCGTAGGGGAGATAGTCGATGACTCTTGTGTTGGCGGGAACCACCACATCGGCAGGGAGACTGGCCTCCTTCATGCCGAGGATGGCCACCACGAGGAGATCGTCACGGTCAGCGAGGGCTTGGATCGCGGGGATGAGAAGGTCGGTGTAGTCTCTGGCGATGGTGCCCTGCGTCACGGCGACGATGCGGCGGTCTCCTCGCTTGACGTCGTCCCACCAAGTGGGATAAACAAAGTTGGCGGGGATGGGCTTGGGGGTTAGACAACCGGCGAACTTGACATTCGAGGGCATGTCGGAACGGGGGTACTCAAGGCTCGGGGGGCACATTTGGAGGGTCACGTCGTGGATGAGCATCCAGTGGTGGAAGGGCACCTGGGGCTCGAGGAGCTCTGTAGTGCCAAGTTGCTTGAGGATCTCGTCCTGGTAGGCGATGGACTCGGCAAAGGGACCTGCAACCATCATCTGGTTGAGCAACTGGTTTCGTGCTCGGCCAGACTCGGATGAGTCAGGAGGAAGACCAGGACCACCAGGGCCTGTGTCAATGCTAGTGGCCACGTAAGGCACGACATGGAGGTTCACCACCTTGGGTCTGGTGGTGTAGCCCTTGGGGAGAGGAGCACCAAGAGAGAGGGGGTTGACACCCATGTAAAAGGTCTCAGGCACAATAACGACCTCTCTCTCAGGATCCTTGGCCCTCAACCCCTCAAGAACCTCCTTGAGGATCCTCCAACGCTCAGGAGTCTGACCGATAAAGATGTACTTCACATCATAGAGCAACCTCGGGATACCTGCAGGGATAGCGTTACGCTCCGCCTCCATCTTGGGGTTGAACATGGGAGCAAGAGGCACAAACTCTGACCCAGTGCCCTTGATGAGGCCCTCGAATTGGGCACCGCCGATAAAGGTTACCTCGAAACCACGACGGACGAGCTCTGCTGCGATTCTGGCAAGGGGGTTTGTGTGGCCATCGGCAGGAGCGGCGGCGAAGACGAGGTGAGGCTTTCTAGAGGTAGAAATGACCGTCTTTTCGATACCGGAGGCCAGTTCGGCCACGGTAGAGGTGTTGGAGGGCATGGTTCTGTGAAACGGGGAAGTAAAGGTGAATGTAGAAACAACTCGCTGTAACTCGCTCCGAATCAGAGGAAGAGATGGAAGAAGCTGGAGAGAAGAGATCTGCAGTCTAGACAAAACGACAGATTAAAGATGCCCACTATATATCATGTCCATCTCAATCTCCAGCCCCGTATACGAAAACCCTCCAGAGCCACTATCAACCTCCAAGGCTGACTTTACCAAAAAAGTCCACATGAATCAAAAATCTGACATGAGATTTTGGCATGGGCCAGCAATGTAGCATCCATTTCACAAGCATACCCAATAAAACGAGGATTCTTACCCACAGCGCGGCGCTATCATGGTCCGGGCATCGTGATCTCCGCCCGTACCATCAGCCCTATCAAAGGACGACGGACGAGGATAACCAACCGCCTTGCCGCTAGGCTCGGCGGTGTTTGGCTCCGTGCTTATGACGACTTGGTTCTAGATGCCGAATGATGTTTTGAATGTTCCTTCGCCGCGTGGCTGTGTTTCCTTTGCTGACTTTGGTGAAGCACTAGCTAAGGGGGGGGGGATTTGTGCAACTTGGCGATGCGTTGGCATTCCGTGTTTGTCTTTTTGTTTAGCGGCAGGCCCGTTGGTAAACGTTTCTGTTTCATCTCGGGCATTTGCTCTCTTGTGTATTAGTTGATAGTGATACCATAGGCATGATCAACCAAGCAAGCAGACGGGTTCGATGCCGCGGTCCCACCCTCTCCAACTGCCAAGTGAGCCTGCCTATAGTCTCATCCAGTCAGACATTCTTGCGGTTATCTACCTGCCTGTAGATGAAACGCGTGGGTGGAAGAGCAGCTTAGTTCGCTGAGGTTGCCAAGTTAGTCGTCAGCAAAGAAATGCGAAAAACTAGTCTTGGCTTACGCGAGCCAAAACAACGCACACCCAATGTTAATAGTCTAATCTTTGCTGACACTTTGAGGCTGAGGTGAACAACCTGCCAAAAACAAATAGAACAAGGGCTTACCAGTGACATTCCATCCCATCTCTCTCGCCTATTGTCAGATGTCAAGCGCTTATCGAAGGGTGGCACACGATCCGGGGTTTGCTTCTTGGTGGCATCTATCAGTTCGGTGACAGTTTTCGGAAGCGTTGCCGAAAAGTCTTGGGGACGGGAAGGTTGGTGCAACGGGGTGTTGTATCGAGAGACAGGTCTTGATCTGCATTTTGAGAGTAGTTGATGATCTTCACTTAACAGACTCTGTTAACTGTTAGTTCATATCTACCATCCAAGTATTGATATATCCACGTACCGTTTCCATGTCAACACGTCATTCTTGTACGAGATGAAGATAGATTCCATCGCACTCGGACTAAAAGCCACGAGTTCAACGTTTCTACCTCTCACAAATCCATCAAAGGCACACGATCAAGTAACGATTGGCTCGGCTTCGTACATGTTTGGACAAGATGCCGTGCCTTCCTCCTCGGCATATCCATGCTGTGACACTTGCCATTTGGGGTGCTCCATGACGGCAGGAACACCATCGAAGTGTCAAAAGGAGATCGTGCCTTCCTCGATTTTCGATGTTATCTCGGGCTTGTTCTGACAGTCGCTGCACGTTTTCCTTCTACCAACTCAACCTCTTTTATCGCTCGTTGTTGTTCAAGATGGCCTGGATTTACCGCTTCCTTCTCTTCATCTCGACTCTCGCTTTCCATGTACTGGCAGCTGCCGTAGAGACCGAGCCAGATAAAGCGGACTTGGACCTCACGACACCATGGAATGGATTTCACCTGAAGCGAGCCGTGCCAATCGTTGCTCGATCCCCTGATGTTCTCAGCACTCGCGTGTCGAAACTCAAGAAGCTCAACAGAAAACATCAACTCCATCCAAGATCTGCCGCCTCCCTACTCGCAAAACGTAACGAGGGACCCTTTTCTCTCAAGAAGGGCATCCAGAACATCTCAGCTGTGGGCGACTTCTCAACCTCGTATGCGATCGAATGCGTATGGGATTCAACCCCCGTCTGGCTCACCTTCGACACTGCGAGCTCTGACACATGGGCTGTCAAATCTGGTTTCCGGTGTGAGAATAACCTGGGAGATAAGCAAGACCAGGACTGGTGCGGATTTGGCCAACCGCACATCAAAGACTTTGGATTAGGAAGCCTGACAGAGATACACCTTCATCGGAGCTACGCATCTGGGGAGAACGTGTCGGGCCCAATGGGTGTTTCCGATATCACTTGTGGCGATGTCGCTGTCCACAATCAGCAGGTCGGACTAGTTAACAGGACATACTGGCACGGTGACAACGTGACGGTTGGTGTTCTGGGTTTGGCGTATCCATCTCTCACCAGTGGCTACTTGGGCGGCCCCAAGGACGAGACGGAGTGGAACAATTACCCCTACACGCCCTGGCTGACCAAAGCCATCGCTCAAGGCGAAACGAGCCCCATGTTTAGCGTCTGGCTTGACCGAAACTCGAGCGATGGGATGCTCACTTGGGGCGGACTTCCGCGGCCCGCTGCCAGCAAGCTTGGGCAGCTTACAACCACCGGTCTCATCATTGTAAGTTTGAAGTATCGCCGACGATTCTACCGAATCAGGTCACTAATTATATATCCTCTTAGGCAAAACTCGACGACAGGGAAAAGACAGCCTGGAAGCCGTCGTTCTATACTATCATCCCGGACGGGCTAAGATGGGGATCAAGAACCGACACGGGAAAGTACCCGTACATTGTCGACACGGCCACAACCATGATTCACGTGCCTCCGCGTAGGTTAAAGTCCTTTCTGAGCTATCATGTCCGCTAACCCCCCATAGCCCTTGCCGAAGCCATCGCGGCGGCGTTTGAGCCGCAGGCTGTGTACCTGTATCAGTGGGGGTCATACTTTGTCCCATGCGACTCAATCGCGCCAAGCTTTGCCATCACCATCTCGGGGCTCAATCTTTGGGTTAACCCGGCTGATATGATATTCAAGGACCTCGTGGATCCTGGGACGGGGTACTGCGCCACGGCCATCACCACCGGCGGATCGGGGCCGTACATCCTAGGTGACGTCTTTCTCCAGAATGTCCTGGCCGTTTTTGACGTAGGAAACGCCGAGATGCGCTTCTATGCGAGGAGGTGAGCGGGCGTAAACTGCGGGCGATCCTGCAGTTGCGTGGCGTGATGATGGCTCGGTAAATCAAGGCATGTGGTCGGTTTATGGGTTGATGGGGAACTGAAGTTGATGGGCAATGTTATGATGATGGAGAGACGATGGAGTAATTGGTCAAGTAGGAGTCATCTCGGTAGTTGAAGAGTTCTTTGTTGTGTGATAATTCATCATCTCAGCTATCGTCGCCGGCAGATCAATACATGCATCCGTGACCGGGATCTTTCACAATGATTTTAACCAAGGCGCTTTTCCGGTGCAAAAAAGGTTTTAGAGTTCCAGATTGAATAAGAAATGAAGCTATTTTACCACGATCAATAAAAGGTGGACTTCTTGAGGGTTGAAGTATAGCTGAGTTGGCTGTGCCACCCCACAAGAGCCAATTCGTAAGTAAACAAGGGACTTGGACAGACAAGGTTCGCTTCAGTCACACATATGTTTTTTTAGTTATTCTTTCACTCTGAGTGGCCAATTGGTCTCGTTATAGCGCCTTCTAGAGCCATGGGTCCATTCGATCAATGGAAGCTTGAAGCGATCAGTTATTCCACCCGTTCCTATCAACTTAGACGGGTACACAGAGTGGGTAATCCAATGCAATCTTAAAGATGTTAGTATGGCGTTAGTATTATCAGAAATTGCATAGACTAGGAGATGATTAGTCCAAGTGTTCTTGTCTGCCCGCCATTCATTCTAGGTTGAACTTGAGCTTTCGGGGACGGGTAGATAGACTACCTAGACATATTGACACCCGGACAAGGAGAGCAATATTGCTTCGCAACATGTTAATGAGCATTGGCATATTTCCTACGTTTGAGCAAAAAAAGGACTCAGATAAAGAACAGGTGGGCGCCCACCAGTCGCTAACAACCAGCAGTTTTTAGCTACCGTTTGTTCAACAAAGACCACTCGGCAAATAGCGACTCACAGACTACTTGCGGGACAATGGTCGAGGCCTCTTTAAGCCAAACTCTTGATGCGAAGGCTTCTTTCAACTCGTTCTACCGAAATAGAAGAACACTCGGTCATGGCCAGCGTCTTTGTCCTAGGACACGTTGAGAGGGCCATGAACATGTCTTGAATCTGTTCAAGTCTCCTCTTATCACTATGTTTAAATACATTGACTTCTCTCCCAGAGCATCTGAAGCGTTCGTTACCAGGTAAGAAAGCATCTTGTTAAACATTTCATCACAACTCCACAAACCACCCCAAAGTTACCTACTATATACCCTTCGAAATGAATCACCAACAGGCTAAACTGGGGCAAGTGGCAGAGATTTTGACCCCGTCAGTCAACACAGCCGTCAGGGCGATCCTGGCCTTTTTAACAAGTAAGAACCCCCCCCCTCCTTTCCCCTTATCAGAGAGTAACTCTTTTGCTAACTTTTGTCTGTCTCACAGTTATGTTTTTGAGAGCTATCCTAGGATACACGATCCTCGCCAAGATCATCATTATCTTGATCTCTGGTGACCTGGAAGCAGAGCACCTCCCGTTTCCGTATCTGGTCATGAGCTTTCTTGTGTATTTCGGCCTGTTTGAATTGGTGTGTTTCTTGCTCAGGTTCTGCAGCAGAGTAGCCCGTCACATTGTGGTCGGGGCTATCAGTGCAACCCTTCTTGCCCTTTTGTACCGGTGGATCCTCGAATAGTTGGGTATTTTGATCATGAATCTGAGAACAACCATGCTGGCATGGCTTGCTAAACAACAATACAACTTACATACTAAGAATTTCATAAATTTAAGCAAATAAGTCATGTTCTAATACAAACCTGTTCTGTGCCTCTTACAACTTCTGTGCCTCTTACCGCAAGAGAAGACATAACTTCAATCCCCTTATCGAGAACGAGTCATGGTGGGATGCTGATCGCGATAGACTCAAGGAAAAGCTCGTGATGTCAGTTAATTACTCCCCATTTCGCTGACCTTGTCGGCTCGGTCACGGGGCTCCACAGCTCCATCCTCACCGAAACAACCGTATCCAAAAAAGGAAAGCAGCTAGCATCACCGAGGGCGCCAAGACGGTCCGTCTCGCGATGCTCACCGACGGATTGAGCATCACGAGAGAGGTCTAAAGAAGCAAGGATTCGGCGGGCAACAGGTTCTCAAAGCTTCAAAAGCGGGATTCTTATCCGGCTTCATCTCGCTCAGGGCGGGCGAAGCCGGTTATTGACAAGGCCTGGGCCTGTCATGGATGCATCATGTTGTCGTTATCGTCAAGAGACAGGGCAAGGCGGTGTGAGAAGGGGAGGAAAACCCCACAGTCACGATGCAAGCAATAGATCCATGGGTATGGGTATTTGCCGTCCAGGTGAGGTAGGTTTCCCCTGGACAAGTCAAGCAAAACCCCCCTGGACCTAGGGAAAATCTGGACAGGTCAGAAGATAGATGACCCAGTCGCGATGCAGGCATCGGTCGAGGGCGGCGTCCGGGGAGCCGTGGTTGACCTTGAAGGACGGCGCTGCGCTGACTGGACTGGACCGGATGGACAGGCGGAAAACGAGGACAATGACACGACAGCGGCGCGAGTGGTGCCAACTCGGACAGACCCGGGAGAGGGGAAGGGGGGTCTCGTGGATGATGTTGGGACTTGGGTGGCGGTTCCTGCAGCTTTTCACCCCAGACTTCTCTGACCTTTTGGTTTTGCTTTGCTTTTTTGGTCCCGGGACGAGATTTCGGATCTGTCAACGGGTGACAAAGTAACCCAAGCCTTCGGCCGGGAGTCGGTGACCGGCGGTACAAGTCCGAAGGTCCCCCAAGGTGTGTGTGAATGCCTGACCAAACATCGCCTTCCCCGGCTCAGACCGGGAGGATCCGGAGGCACGTCACGGGCTGAGCTAAGGTCAAGGGAGCTTTTACTCTGGCAGCTCCTGTGGCTTGCTGTCTTGCTTGCTTGCTGCTGTTACTGCTGCTGCTTGATGTTCCCCCACCCTCGGCAAAAGACACAAATAAAACAAAATAGTGGAGGTTTCTGGGGGTCAACCCGGGGGTTCTTTTTCATTTGAGGGCATCCCCGTGAGAAGCACCGACCGGATCATGAACCGTAACTCGGTTCCAGGGGGTAGACAATAAACCACGAGGTTCACCAAGTGGAAACGAAATGAATAAAAAAGCCAAAAGACGACGACTTGATGAGGCACGAGGGCCCTTATTGACAAATTGCCAAAGGAAAAAAAAAAACCAGCCCTGTAACGGGGACACCTTGCAGGGCATCCGCTTGCCTTCTACGTCTCCCGAGCGGGGGTTTGGCCCGCGATGGTGGATCGCAAACGCGGGCGTTGGCGGGGCAGGGACGTCCTAGGATTGGTTCCCTCTGATGGGTCATCCATCCATTTTCATCGTCATTGGATTCATGATGGAGCCGCGACCACGAGAAAGACGATGCAAGCCGCCGCTAAACAATTTTTTCCTCTTTTTTTCCTCTGCTCGTGTCTTTTCAAAGGAAGAAGAAAGAACCGTAATTAACTGCTGCTTACAGCTTTAGTGGTCTGCTGCCTTTTTTGCTCAGCTGGCCTCGCTGCTCGCCGCTTCTTTACACCGAGAATAGCTCCTCTCCCTCAGCCCGGGAATCACTGACTCCTTTTTCTTTTCCCCGTCCCTTTTCTTTTTCCTTTCTTGCATTGACCTGATATCTATTCATACTGTACAGGGGGGTAACCATAGCTTGTCCATCATCGTATCATCCATCCATCCCGAATTTCTTATACATACGGTACAACGCGCTCCCCATCACTCGCTCACATACAACAACCCCTCATCCCCCCCCCCCGCCTCCGCCTCCGCCCTCCCTCCAAACAGCTTCTTTCCGAGTCCGGTTCCCTTCCCCCGGAGTCTCTGAGTGTGTGTGTGTGCGCGCGTGTGTGTGTGCTGCAGATCACATATCGTTTGATTGTTCTCGTCTTCGACTCAGACTGCTACTGTATTACAGTTTTATAGCTGCAGTCCTGAGGCGTTGCATCCCCACATCGAGAAGAAAGGCGCTGCTGCTCTTATTCTCTGCAGTCGCACCTGCAGATAACAGACCGTACTGTACTGTACCTTCCCTAGGTTCAACTACCAAACGTAGTTGGATCCATTGGGCCTGTCATCGATTTGGGAAAGAGCCATCTTTGCCCGCTTCCGCCTCATCTGATCTCAGCTGAGCTTCTCCCGCGCCTTCCAATTATCTATCGTTGCTTGCTGCACCTCGCCCAGCTTGCTCTTTCCTCCTCTACATCTACATACCCGAGGCTCACGCGATCCCATCTCGTCGCCCATAGAATTCAACCTCCACATTCTATTGTATTCGTTCTCGCCCTTCTCGACTTTTACTCCTTTCGCTCTATGTCTCTGCAGTATTGGAGCTTTCGTACACTCGATCAATCTCCGGCTCGTCTTGCTCTCGGTCCTTGAGCGCTCCCGCTCAGTCGCATTCCTCACCGTCGCCCATCTCCGATAATACCCATTCCACTTACATCACCACTCCCACAAACCAACGCCCACCATGCCTTCTCGAACCAACGGCGTCGGAGTCCAGGTCGAGGACACCAAGATCTGTGTGGTCATGGTTGGCCTGCCTGCCCGAGGCAAGAGCTACATCGCCCAACGAGGTCAGTATTCCCATATCCCCCATCATCCAGCCTCGACTAACCACCAGCAGCCCAGCGATATCTGCAATGGCTCTCCATCCCAGCTCAGACCTTCAACGTTGGCAACTACCGCCGCAATGACGCCCCTCAACCCAAGGCCGACTTCTTCGACACAAACAATCCCGAGGGAGAGCGAAAGCGCCGTGCCGCCGCCGAGGCTGCCGTTGCCGACATGCTCGCCTGGTTCCGCACTGGAGGCACCGTCGGCATTCTCGACGCCACCAACTCGACCCTGGAGCGCCGCAAGTGGGTGCTAGAGGTCTGCAATGCTAACGGCATCGAGGTTCTCTTTGTCGAGAGCAAGTGTGATGACGAGGAGCTCATCATGGCCAATATCCGCGACGTCAAGACTGGTAGCCCCGATTATCGCGGCCAGGATCCCGAGACTGCTGCCCTCGACTTCCGCAACCGCATCCGCAACTACGAAAAGGTTTACTGCACAATTGACGCCAACGGCGAGGAGGCCCACCTGACCTACCTCAAGATCATGAACGTTGGCAAGCAGGTCATCATCAGCCGTATCCGGGACTACCTCCAGAGTCGAATTGTCTACTACCTCATGAACCTTCACATCCGCCCCCGCTCTGTCTGGCTATCAAGAGTAAGACATCTCTCGCCTCATTACTCAGGGATGAATGCTGACCCCTGTAGCACGGTGAATCTCTGTACAACCTTGATGGAAGAATCGGCGGTGACACGCTCCTTTCTCCTCGTGGCGAGCAATATGCAAGGAAACTCCCTGAGCTCGTCCGAAAGTCGGTCGGAGTACGTCCACCCCAACCTCCTTACAGGCATAAAAGCTAACATGACTTTCAGGATGATCGTCCTCTTACCGTGTGGACCTCGACTCTTCGACGAACCATCGCCACGTCTCGCTTCCTCCCCCAGCACTACAACCAGCTCCAGTGGAAGGCCCTTGACGAGCTGGACTCTGGTGTGTGCGACGGTCTGACTTACCAAGAGATCAAGGACCGATATCCCGAGGATTTCGCTGCTCGTGATGAAGACAAGTACAACTACCGCTACCGTGGCGGAGAGTCATACCGCGATGTCGTCATCCGTCTTGAGCCTATTATTATGGAACTGGAGCGAAGTGAAGACATTCTCATCGTCACTCACCAAGCTGTTCTGCGCTGCATCTACGCCTACTTCATGAAGAAGGACCAGTCTAAGAGCCCCTGGATGAACGTTCCTCTCCACACCCTCATCAAGCTGACCCCCGGCGCCTATGGCACCGAAGAGGTTCGCTATGAGGCCAACATCCCCGCTGTCAGCACCTGGAGAGGCAAGGGAAGCACCGCCAAGCACGAGAACCCAGCCCCCGAGGTCCTGTAAGCCAAGAAATGGCCATAACCGAGGTAACCGGATAAGGGCTCCCGACTCGAGCCATCAGTACATATAGCGCCCAGGGAGATGATCACAACGAGATGATCCTCTCTGGTGCCAGTGGATGACACCTTTTTTACGAACTGAAATGAGCAAGCATGTGGAATCGGTTGAGCTGAACGAAGAAACGACAATAAAAAATTGGAGGAGCAGAGCATTCTATGACTACCAGCGAAGGGGAAGGGAACTTCAGAGGTGAATGCTATCCTCTAGGACTATGCCATTGGGCTTCAGGACATCAAAGCATAGATCCATTTGGCCGTCACCAAACGATACCTGGACGGTCCTGTACTGTACAAGAACGGAGGCGTTTTTGCCATTTTGTCAATTTGGGGCGAGGCTGGATAATGACTCTTGGGTCTTGAAAATGATATCAATTGATGAATAAATTCAAACAATTTGACAATATCCCAGCTCACGTTGGTGAAAGCGAGATGTTTAGCCTTGTGATCTTGGGGATGGTTGATGTTGTCTAGACTCGTTGAGAAAGGCTGCAATGATGGACTTCATATCACGATCCTCGTCGAGTTTCCTCCAGAGAGAGCATGGTTTCCGTGTGGGATGGCAGTCTCTCGAAACGGCCTGGTATCTCTCGATTTGGTCATCTGAACATTATCATCAACGCTGCGATGATAGCCTATGTCGTTCATCAACAAATAGTCCTTGACACACTCAACAAGACACATACCAACAGCATGGATCAACAGGGCTCCCGTGAGACAACATGGCCTAGGATCCCTAAGCGCCCTCAGCGCTGGTCTTCAGCCGGGACCAACTGTCCACGGGTGCTCATCAAGTCCTCTCAAGGTCACGCCGGCTGTGGGGATTGCGGGGGAGACAATGCCGGGGTGAGCCGAGCCGGTAGATGAGGCCTGGCCGGTGGGGCCGCCGGTCTGCCGAGCTGAGAGCTGAGTGCGAAATCTGAACCCTCGTTGAGGCCAAGACCTGGTCTTGGCTCTCATCCTCCAAATGGTGAATCTCGGCTAACAGTTGAACACCTTTGTTCTTCTCTGAAACACGGGCGTCCAGAGGCAAAGGGTACCGAAGTATTGGCGACCAATTCGTTTGGAATCAAAATGTGAGTCGCTAGGATGCATGTCCTTCATGACGTAGGTATATCGGGCTTCTCCCGTCGAGATAGGTGAAAGTTTCCATGAATCAGACATCTCAGTCGTTGTGGTCGTTGTGGTCGTGTGTACTTCTACTCGACTGCCCCATGGAACTCTGCAAGCTGGACAAACCCCAATCTGAAGCTTTATGAGCTTCAGGAGTCCAGGTCACATTTCTCGGCTCATTGTCTGCTGTTCTAGGTCGTTTGCGAGGAGGTGCCTCTTGCTCTGACGGATTCTGTACTCGGCCTGCGCGAACTCGACCATCTCTCGGCCAGACCGGCCAGGAGCGGCGGAATCTTCCGGTAGTCGGTGCAATCGTACCCGGACGAGATAGAGAGGTGTGCCTGGGGTGAAGATTGTTGAGGAAGATGCGATTCGCATGGCTATGACAGTTGCAGTGGCAGGACAGGTCAGGGCCCGAGGCCTTGACAATCTTGGCGATGAGTTCAGCCATGGAGAGTTCGATATGAAGTTTGACTAGATATGCGACAGGGTGGAATTCGACGTATCTATAAACACCAATTAGTGAGAGAACATGCCAAGACCTTCGGGACTCGGGACACACAGGAAGGTATACTCAAATGACATGCTCGCAATGATTAGCATCTACAGCTGTTAGTCAAGCATCACCAAGTCCAACGAAGAACATGACCCACATCCATCGAAATAGAAATGGTAACCATGACCAGGTTGTAGCGATACAGCACCACGTACTTGGTGAGGCCGTAAGAGATAAGTGAGGAGCGCACGAGATAGACAAAGTAAAGATTCAATGCCAGATCGATAGCCGCGAATATGCCCTTCTCGACTCGGTCCCAGATGTCGTTGATGTAGATATAAGTCTTGTTGATCTGCAGGCGAGCGGGGAGCCAGACACAGAAGACAGAAATGTTGATGACGACAAGTATAGCGAATGTTCCCCATTTTATTCGACGGACAGTAGTCTGCGAGACTGCAAGGAGAGCGATCCGGTTGATGATGATTTGCATGATGCAGTGAATCTGAAAGACCCAGAGAAAGACTGGATGAATGTCAGCCGGGGTCTCAAGGCAGTCGACAAGAGGAGCTTCGTCATACGAATTGCAAAGTAGATTTCGAAACTATTCAGTGAATGTTAGCCATGTGAAAGGCAAAAAAGGCAAGGTCCATCATACCCAGGAGGAATATTCCCATGAACATAACCCCAGGCAAGTCCTCCGATGATGGCGCTCGAAATTAGCTCCAGCCAGATGAGGACCATGTACGTAGTAACTCTTCGAGCACGTTTCCATTGGCGATATGTTTGGGTAACGACTCGAATAAGGCCAAAGGCAGTCAGGGTGAGAGCCATTCCCCATACGATGCTGACAATGGCCAAGTCTTCACAGCTTGGCTGATCGAATTGGTACCATGGTGGGATTAGGGCGCCCTTTTCCGGCATTGTATCATGATCGTTACTCAGGTTGAAGGCAAGAAGTTGGTAAGAGAAAGCGTGGTGGCGGAAAGTACTGTTGCAGCAAGAGTATCGAAGTGGAGGGCGAGTATATGAAGGAGCAAACTGGACCAGACAGGACGGGTTTCAACATGGGCAAAATTGCAAGAGGTAAAAATATGATCTCAACAGGCACGGGACCTTTCATCTCAATTAAAGCAGCAGCAGCAGCCCTTGGGGTATTTCCCGAGCCCCGACCCTTGTCGAGGAGGCGGGTTAAGCGGTTCAACAGCGCAGGCGAGTGCAGCAGTGGCGTCGAGCGAGGCTTGTTGTGAAACTAGCGCTGAATGGCGACTCTGTGTTGAGGGCGTGGCGTCTGCTTGGGACTGCCCGATGAGCCGGTCGTGGAGGGTGAGCAGCAAAACAAAGCTCAGTAATCTGTGCGATCATAGCTTGTGTGTGTGGTGTGGATGGTGAGGGCTTGAAGAAGGCTTCGGGTTGGCGTCTTCCCGTCACCGCTCAATCGTTGACAACTCGCCCGGCGGCAACGTGTGGCTCGGCTCGAACGAGATGGATCAAACCCTAGGTCATCAGATCAATTGCCTTGCCAGCAGAAAGAATTGCTGCAGACTTGTTGGTGGCACGCAGGCAGGCTTGAGTAACCCTGGTCGACTGAGCCTATCGTCAAGTGTCTCACTCGCAGAGGTCGTAACCATCAGCAGCAGGTAACGCCATATCGAGATGCGCTTTGATGCACGTCGATATCCGAGAGGGTCTTTTCCCTTATTCCGCTGCAGCGTCGTTTCCCACCACACCGTCATTGTGCTCGTCAACGAGGACAAGAAGCACCAATGAGCTCGTGTGGTCTATCAGCTGGGTCAAACCCCGGCTTGATCCCGCAGCAACGGGTCATAGCCAACTCGCAGCAACAGCCCTAGTCGGCGATCGTGGGGGATCCTGCAAGACCAATGATGGATACATAAGGCGGCCAGCCGCTGGGTCCGGCACTTGGAGGGTGAGCAAGGGAGGTTTAGCGGGAAACGATACGTCAGATAAGTTCCGTAGAGTGAGCGCTTGTTCAGGGCGATGTGTAGATGACGTCTAGATTTGACTTTGATAGATCGCGGGAAGGATTCTGGATATCCGGGCGACGGATGGTGAATTGGAGAAATAGATCAAAGATTAGATTGAAGCTCAGTACAATTGTGGAACAAGATAACACGTGAAAGAGAGAAACGTGACTTGGTGTTTAACGGTTGATGCTCAAGTGGATGTGAATAAAAACGGAAGGATCGACCTTGACTTGCGGACGATGAACACGATGCCTTTCAGAGGGCCCAAAGGCTTCACTCGGTGATCAAAATCAAATTGATAAGGTTTCATACCATCAACAGTTTTAAGACGGACCATTGATACCCTCTTGATGTCTTGAGGGCCCTGAAAAGGCCCTCGCTACCATGAAATCGCCAGCACTCTCCCCATTAGCGTCATGGCGCCATGTCAGCTATGCACGCCTGCACTTCTGCTCCTCCTCGGTGAAGAACTTGGAATAACCCGAGAAGACGAGATCGCGGCTGCAGCTGTTGTTGGGTAGGAGGCCTGTGATCGTCCAAGTTGGCGATAAAGGTTGCCTCATGCTTCTTGAGGGCGGCCGCTGTGGGAAAGTCATGGTTGCAATCGTCGCATCGGTGTCGAACTCGCTTGTCGGCCTTCCTCTGGGCATCTAGGTGCCTCAGAAGATGTAGTGCTCTCTCATCTCTCTTCATCTTGAGATACCCTGCCTCATCTCTCATCTTCGCCCTCTCTCGCCATTTTTTTCAGGGTAGGTGAACAGAACACTAACCTACAGCAGCAAACAACTCGTCAAGGTTATCGCAAGTACCATGTTTAACACGAAAATTTAAGTGTCACGTTCATTGTTGGCTAAGTGATTGACTCCAGTCGAGTTACCTTGTTACTTTTTTTGAAGTCACTGAGTTGCAATGCTTCGACCTTGTTAGACGAGGTTCACGAACCCAGGCTTCAGAAACCCCGATTTTGATACTACACTCATCTCAACACCAACGTTCAACACTGACAACATTTATTCAGAACGTTTCTACTTTGCCATGTTGACACTTGATAAGCATCTAACTCTAGAAATATCCTATTACTCATCCCATAGATACTATAGAACGTATTCTATTCACCCATACCAAATGAACTGCATCAGAACCTACTCTACTTTAGTTATTCTATGACTAGACTCTGTGTTACTTGAACCTGACTGAAGATATAAACCTGTATGCTTGTCTCTACTTAGACCTTACTCCTTAATTTCCAAACATCAAGACCTCGCAAAACCATGTCGTATTATTTCCAGCCTCCCCTCGTTGGCCTCCCTGCATACTTCTACCCGGCCACCCCCCTCTACTACCAACTCGCGCCTGTCCTCTTGCCTCTACCCCGTACCACCATTGTTCCTTGCATCAGGATCAAGGTAATCTTCCACAGAGCCGGAATAGTCCTTGGATCGAACGACGCTGTTTACCATACTCCCCCATCTCGAGAGACACTGCTAGGAAACCTTGCCTGGTGGTCCAAGAATCATGGCCTAGGAGATAGAGTATACTCAGGACAAGCAACTATTTATCTAACAAGTAGTTTGCTGTCCACTCTATCGATCCTGCCCGAGACTGGAGTTGTGAGACCTTCGAATACTGTAAAGACAGTTTCGCTTGCAGAACAACATTCGGTCTGGCAATTTGAGACCATGATGTCCGAGATAGGGACAAGGAACCTTGGGGCATTTATTGTTGTGGATGTAGGAGCCTTTGATCAGTTTCACGGGGCTACAAGCCAGAACAACATCGCGCAGCAACAGAATCCTCGAACGACAATCCAGCAAATTGACCAAGGTGCTCCATCGGATGATGAACCCACAGATGCCGCACCTACAAATGGCGCACCCACAGATGATGCAGCCCCAGGAGATGGCCAACCACCGCAAGATCAGAATGATGGGCAGACACAGCAGGGCAATGATGAGCCGGAGCCAAGTCAAGGGGGAACTGCAAACGGTTGAAAGAGAATGAATTCGGTTGATACATGTCAACAACCTTTTCAGAAACAGTGAGCAAAATCGTTTGATCTTGATGAAGAATACCAAGTAAACGTTTGCAAATGTCAATACATTGAATTGTCCCTTGCCTCATCCAAGTATTCTCTTCTACTATTACTACTTTGGCTGTAGCCCAACCAAAGCTACACCCCATTGAATCGCAAACCAAGTTTTGAACAATAGTTAGACCCAAACCAGACGAGTTTCCAGACAAGATTGATCCTGAGCTGCCAGAGATTCTCTTGCCCCCCCTTTCACAACCGCAACCCATCCCCATCAACACAACTTCACAACTCACAAACTCCCACCAAAGCAGAAACAACAAAAAACAATGGACGTCTGCATCACCGCCCAAGAGCCCTTCTCCTGTGAGCCCATGGGCTCAAAGCCCTTTGAGCCAGTGCAGACCTCCCAAAAGGCTGCCAACGACGCATCCGCCTCCGCCTCGGCTCCTCTCCTCCTGGGAGGCAAGTCCTCCCCCGAAACCTCCAAGCCCAAGGAGCTCGAGTTCGAGCTCATCACCTACGATCCATCCAATGACAGCTCCCTCACTCATCCCTGGGACGTCGCCTCGGAGCCCGTTCGTCTCCCCGTCGGCTCGACAAAGAGCCAGCTTCTCAACTTGCTTCGCACTCAACTCCCAGTTCCCTCGGCCTCGGCCAAGAAGACGGGCACGTTTCGCCTCAGCCGCACCATTCGCCGCCAGAAGCTCGACGCTGCCACTTTGTTCCTGACGTTTGGCGGTGTGATCGTTCCCCTGGGTCCCAAGGAGGAGGACTGGCACTACCGCAACGCCATTACCAAGACGGACCTCCTCGAGCGTACCGAGGGGGAGTGGTACTTGATCAAGGAGATGATTGCTGCGTCGAGTGGTTCGCTCAAGTGCTACATCGTCATCCACGGTGAGGCGCCCTCGAACAGGAAGTCGTCTGGTTGGTGGTTTAGCAGCCGCTCCTAACACACACCTTCAAGCCTATCAATGCAGAGATTCTCGCCTCAAGACAAAAGTTCAAGACATTAGAAAAGGGGATAATGGCATCTGTTCGGACATGACTGACTATTTGAGAATGGGATTACTCGCATGTGAAGAATAGGATCTTGTGGTGGAACTTGTGGTTTGACCGAGAATTAGGGAATACATGGAAAGGAACCCAACTAGTACTAAATGACATATGTTGTCTGATGTCTTAAATGTGAATACTAGCCAGTTGTCCTTTGCGTCGCTGGTGAATGCATAGCTACTACTTACCTACCACGCATTCATGGCGGCTCACTGCCCCAAGTTGACAACCCTCATCATCATACACATACACACACACAAGCTGCGAGAACAAATAACTTTGGGCGAGCAAAAAGATATTAAACTTCTGCTATGCAAATGCCTCTCTGTTGAATAGCATCAACAATGTTACCAAGTAACAACGCCTCAACTATCCCCAGATCGGATGCAACAACACAATAAGACCAAACGCCATAGTTAGCCTAGGTATAATCTGAACAAACCCTTGATATCCACGCGCCCCCCAGACTGCTCATGAGCCAACCTCTTCATCTCCATGGATCTCTCTCTTGTCTTTGATACTTGGTATAGCACACCCTTTCATAACAGCAGCATGCCCGATCCAATCCTCTTGTCTCTGTAAACTCCCCCCCATCCCAATACACCGGATTGCTTGCTGGGTGTCTTTTTCAAAACAAGGAAAAGAAAATACTGGTCAAACACAAAAGTAGTCAGGGCTTCCGACGCCAACCCGTGCCGTGAGCCTCTGTAGTCGTACACGAGTAACTGCAACTCCGTTACCCAAATTAAAGCCCGGGATCCCCCTTTCGCCTCTATCCATCCACCCTGCCCGCTCGAGAATCCGAATATGGTGGCATCGTCAACCGTCGGGATGCCCATTGTGCCTCGTGCAGCCTTCTGAGCATCCACCATGCAATAACCACAAACACGGCCAGGGGTAAGGGATCGTGACAACGGCGAGCAATTGCGCCGAACCATATGCTTTCCAATCTCCCACATCCACAAGATTTTCCAAGAGCCAAGTCCAGAGCAAAACCAACCTCGCAAAGACGCCGCCATGCAACATGATGCATAAGAAAAAAACAAGGAGCCGCAACACGCCTGCTCAGACGCCTGCTGCTTATAAACAAGTTCACCTCGTCCGACGTGTCTACGCCGGCGGGTTGCCCTTGAGGCGCTTCGTCATACGCGGTGTGGGAGGCTTCGCGTTGCGTGGCATTCCGTTCGTGGCCGGTGTGGGAGCCCCAGATCCGTCCTCTTCCTTGACTGCTGAGGGCCTTCTTCGCTTATTCGATGCTGGCGACGTGTTTGCGCTAGGCCCGCTTGAACCAGTACCCTGTTGGCTTTGCTGCATCTGCATTCCAGGAGCCTGCATGTGACCAGGCGCCGGGCTTCCAATGTGAGGTGATCCAGGGAGGTTCATGTGTGCCGTGGCTGGGCTGGCACCCATGGGAAATTGTCCGAAGCTAGGCGTACGAGCCCCCGGGGGCATCGGCTGTCCGTTCATGGTGGGAGGGACTCCGTTGATTTGTGTCGCGACGTACTGTTCGAGAGCCTGATAAGGTCCGAGGCCGGGATTCGAGTGGAAGAATCCGAATAATGGGTTCATCTGTCCCATCACTTCAACAATCTGGACGTAGTTTATTAGCCTCACTCTTTACTTACGCTGAGTGAGTCACCCCTACCTCAAGAAACTGGAAAACCGCTTGTGTTACACCCTTGCTGTTGACTGCAGCCTCGGGGAGATCTACGAGAACCTCGGGAGGCTGGGTCTGAGGGGACTTAAGTTGTCGGCCCTTGCCCTTCTTCGATAGTTCTGGCGACTTGCCGTCCTGTGAGTTAGTCTTGTGCCATTCCTTCATCCACATGTGGGCGGGCTTCGCGGCATCGATGACCTGCTTTCGCGAAATGTATTCCTCGTGGCTGGTGGTTAGGAACTCGAAGAGTTCGATCTTCTGCTCAGCGTCAAACTGTGCCCGAAGTGTTCCGCTCGCAACCAGCTATCAACCCAGTCAGTCTTGGTTTGCATTCAACACATTCATGCAACTTACGTGGGATCCTGTCTCGAACCAATACACCAGACTAGCCTTGGAGTTTTCTATGCAGTGGCAGTCTCCAGGCAGAGGTCGATCTGTTACGCCCTTGTCCATAATCAATTGCATGTTCTTCACGCCGCTGCCAAAGTGAGTATGGAAGTATCGTGCGATGGCGGGATAGGCAATCTCGTATTGCTTGTCGGTTGTGTCCTCGGCGTCCGTGATGTGCAGCGAGTGTCGGAAGACTCCGTTTTGAGAGAAGAATCGAGCGACGAATGCGTTCCAGTAAGAGAGATCATCTCGACCCTTGGAGCCCTGTTGATGACTTGTCAGTCTGAAACGTGCCGCGATCGGGTGAAATAAGGACTTACCGGATATCCGCTCAGATGCTCGCTGAACTGCATAAGCTTCAACAAGCACTGACCCTTCATGTTATCCCTTCGCTGCTGCTGCTGCATCATCGAATTCTGGATCGCCAGCTGTTGCGCCGCCGCATTCATTTGGTGCTGCTGCTGTGGTGTCGGAGCCTGCGGCTGGGGTTGCGGCTGAGCCTGTGGTTGAGGCTGGGGCTGCGCCTGGGATTGGGCGGGTGTCTGGGGAACTTGCGGCTGGCTATGACCGGGCGGCATCTGGTTTGGCTGGGCTGGAGTCGAGTTGGGTGTTTGGGCTGGAGTTTGGGGACCAGTGGGAGCTGGGGTGCCGGCCTGAGATGATTGCTGAGGGGTTTGCTGGGGTTGCTGACCAGGTTGTTGTGGTTGCGATTGAGGCTGTGGCTGAGGCTGTCCTTGAGGCTGCTGGCCCTGTTGGTTCGCCATCTGGTTCTGGAGGGAAGCGGCAGCGAGCTGATTCTGCTGCATAGTCTGCATGTTCTGAGCATTCATCTGCATCTGCTGGTTTGGGTTAGGGCCACCCTGCTGCATCTGTTGCTGAGCATGAGCCGCTTGCTGCTGCTGCTGCTGATGTTGCTGTTGCTGTAGAGCAAGCTGTTGAGCCATGATAGCCTGGGCTTGAGGGTGTTGCTGTCCCTAGAAGTGTTAGCCTACAATGAGCTGCGCGTTTGCGAATCACTCCCACTCACCGGACCCATCCGGGCAGCTCTCAGCTGGTGAAGTTGCTGGGGGTTGAGGTTCATCTGGGCCATGTTCATGGGCATGCCTCCTTGCGCCATGTTGGCCTGGAAAGCTTGTTGAGCCATCAGGTGTCGGGCCTGTTGCTGGTGCTGGAGGAGTTGCTGTTGTCGCATCGCAGCGATCGCTTGCGGGTTACCGACTGTTAAATAGGACGGTTAGCAGGTGCAAAAGCATAATGACAAAGGTGCCGAGAGAACACGTACAGTGCTGTAATTGCTGCTGCTGGAACATTTGTTGTTGCGCGGGATTGAGGTGCTGCAAAGCATGAGCATTTGGGTTCGCACCCGGCGGCATACCGCCCATCAAGGCAGGGTTTACTTGTGCTCCGGGAGCAGAGACCATGGGTCCGCCAAACTGATGAGGCATCCCGGCGTTGGGAGCGCCTTGCTGGCCTGGGTTGTGAGGCATGCCGGGGCCCATAGGGTGGCCGGCGACACCTGGATGACCCATACCGGCGGGATGCCCAGAGAAATTTGGGCCCATACTGGTTGCCATCATGACTGAGTAGTCGGGTCGATTATCCACGGCGTGGATATCGACAGGCGCGTTGTAATACTATCGCATGCGCTGGCGTTGAGCAATGGAGATGACCGGGCTTTGGCCTCGGACGCGGATGCGAAAGTCGAAGGTTGGGTATTGGGTGGCGGAGGTGATCTATCCTGTTTCGCGTGTCGCGACGGGACAGGGTCGGGGGCCCAATGCGATAGCGGTCGAGTCCGATTAGGTGAGGTCGGCGACGGCAAAACAAAGAAAGAAGAAGCAGAAACTCTCTATCAAGACGTGGATCGGCAAGGCGAAGAGGATCGACGAGGCATCGGCGATGGTGGAAAAAATGAGGTTTGGGTTGAATTGGTGGTGTGGTTTCGCGATGCGGATAGACAAGAGAAGTGGCCGACGGGGGGAAGACCGGACGGCAGGCGAATGAGGTGACGATGGGGCGAGTGGCACGTCACGGGATTCCAGAGGTCGAGACCGGCGGACGGATTAGAGGAGCAAGACGGACGTGGCCGTCGTGGTGGTGAGGAGCGATGCCGAAGAGCAACGCGGATTGATGAGAAAGAGGTTGATGATTGTCGGGATGGGAAGGGGTCCAGGGGAATGGATGCGAAAGACGCGGGAGTGCGATATGCCACAATCAGACAGCCAGACGAGACGGGAGAGCGATCCGCTTTCAGTGCTTGCTTGATGGGCTGGGCTGGGGGGAACGGGGCACGGGGGGGAAGAGGGAGAGACGGGAGTCGCAGGGACTTGGGCTGGAGAGTGGGCGAGTGGGTGGACTCTGGGTTGAATTGCCCGCGCGGGCGCGCTTGTCCTTGCTCTTCTGGACTGGACTCCAGCTGGCACTGAGACGATGTGCGACGTGCGACGGCGGGCCCGGCACTGAGGTACGCTGGGCTGGGCTGGCTTGCCTCGACCCAACAGTGAGGGAACCAAGAAGTGAGAGACGTCCGGGGGGAGTCTGACGTGACGGGGGGTCGGGGGCTGACCTCTTGTCGAGTTGGCTGGCTTGGTTGGGGAAGAGGAGAAGAAAGAAGAAAAGAAGGAGGAGGAAGAGTGAGGAGCTGCGAGTGCGAGAGCAAGACAGGCAGAAGGTGGAAGAGAAGGGCGCCGGTATCGTTGCGCGGTTGGTGCCTTTTTGGTCAAGAGTGGACGGACCAAGGATAGAGGTCGGAAGAGGGACGAGTCAAGGAGGACTGTCGCCAGGCAAGGCAAGACAAGGCACGGCGGCCAAGATACTCTGTCTAGCTCCCGAAGGCTATCTCACCCGTTCCGCTGTAATAGTTGCTTGCTGCGATCGGATCGGCCTGTCACAGCAAAGAGACGCAGTTGACAACAAGAACCGGCTGCGCAGTTCGACAGAGATCGACCGTTTCTTACAGACCGGGGTGGTGGGCAAAGTGATGGCCCTCTTTGTCTGTCACAATCGTCCTGGATCGATGCGCGAGCGGGCTTTCGGGGGGGGGGGAACCAACCCTCACAGACCTTGAGGCGTGGGTGGGATGGAGTGGGTGAATGAATGAGCACAGTAGTTGAACGAGTGAGTGGGCTCAAGTGGCAGCACGGCGAGTCCTGATACGTGAAGGCAGACAAAGAGGTGGGAATTTTTCGGCCAACACGGACCAGGGACCCGAGACTCAAGGTGGGTACAATGCAGTTAAGCCGTAAGAAGCCCCCATGTCGCATCCGGCGATGGACACAAACAATGCTTCAGTGTCTGTGAGAATCTGTATGAGATGGTGATCCTGCAATTTACTTCCCCAAAGTCGGTGGCTGGGAAGTGGCCCCTTTACCCATCAATGCAGAAAGCCATAACCCGCTACAGTCATATACGCTCCCAGAGTAGAGATCCCTGACGACACGCGACGATTCCCAGAACCAGGGTCCGCGTTTCCCAATCCTTGGAATCGCATTCCACAAGCGCGTCTTTGAACCAGAGGTTTATCCGGACCAAATTTCCTTTCTTTTGCTGCAAGTTGCCGACGGGAGCAGTAGAAACAGACAAAGGGGAAGGAGTCAATTAGCTGCGAAAAGTCAAAATCTAGATCAAACTCTCCTGTCGGATTCCAACCCGTGAAGGAAGAATTGTCAAAAACTCTCCGGTCGTCACGTGGTCGCAATTAACCGCCTCCTCCTTTTGTTTGCCAGAAAGGAAAGACCTTAGGTAATACGCTCCGTAGATAAGGTCAGCGACAAATTTGTTCCATGCATCTATCGCGGCTCCGGCATTAGAGAACTGCTTGGCTTCCGCCGCTAGAGCGTTTAGGGCTAGATCACCGGTCACGTGCGGGGACACAGTGCAGACAAACGAAAATTTTCGCCGCACTGTTGGGCAATATCTTCACTCGTCGCGAACCTCGAATTCATTCTTTCCAACAACAATCCTTTCACACTCTCGACAAACCCGCCTTCTCTCTGACCATTTCGTGAGCACCACGCGCGAAACCGCACAGCAACGATTTCCCCGGAGTAAGCTGTTTTGATTTGGACAGCTGAGCGATCTTTCTGCGTGTTTCTGGTTGCAATATCGATGGTCAATTTGAGGGATGGCTTGAAATTTTTCCATGCAGCCTTGAAATGGTAAGACCACACTTCCCCCTTTCTCCTGCGTCGCCGCTTTCCCTCTTCCCCTATCTGAATGATGACACTTGTAAAACAAGTCTTCTTTTCCCAACCGAATCGACCATGAAGAAATTCAGTTCTGTTCGGGCCCTTGGCCTGTTACTTGCCAGTATCTTTGTCTGACTACACACCACACTTTTCACCTGATGGCAGAAACGTGCTTTTGCAGCTTTGCTAACGAGACTGCGCAGATTTTTCACTTGCTATCACATCAACTTTTTGCGACTAACCACAACAGCTCAACGGGCTTCCTCTCAACGGACAACGTAAGTTTTTTACTTTTTCTTTTGCAACAGCACAAACTACACGACAATTTGCATGATGAAATTTCCATACACATTCGCAGTTTCCACTTGAGTCCCGATCGAGCCTTTTTTGGGACAAATGAAGGTTTATTCTTCCTTGGATGTCTGATCATTGTCGATGTTTTTTGCTGTTGCTCTTGACGACATTTCTAGAGTCGAAGCTAACAAAACAAAAGAATAGGTCCACCTTGAGTATTTGCACTGTCTGTAGTATACAATGAAATTTTATATCAATCTTAAACTTGCATCCACTCGTGAAAATTCTGAATGTGACTGGTTCTTCTCATCTTAAATCCTTGTCTCTCACTGGATGCTCCAAGAGCCACTTAACGTCCCGTTGATGATCTTGATGTAGGGAACTCATTCATTTCCAGATATGGTTTGGTGTATCTTGTCATTTCGGTCTTGTTCATCTCAACATGTCGTATCCCAACGCTCTAGCAACTATATCCATATCCACCTTTGACGGGCACGCTTCAACTGTTCTTCATCTTCAGAGGCCGTCGTCACTTTCTAAGCAACGCGTACCTCATCTCTCAAGTCCTCCCTCCTAACCCTACCACCAACAATTCCTCTCCTATTCCTTCCCGTCCGACCCCTTCCAAGCCAGTTCAGCTTGAGCATCTTGCACAGCTCTATGACCTTTTCGTTCCCATCATCGTCCGCATCCCCGGCAGACACCCCGGACAACACGCTCATGCACTGTAGCATCCGACCGACCATGTCGGTCACGTGCTTGGAGTCCTCGACGTTCTGCTCCCTCTCACGTAGGCTGCCCAGCGATGGAGGGGGAGGCATCCCGCCCGAGGGTGTAAATGGCCGAAGGACGCCATCGCTGGCGTGGCTGCCGAAGCTGACGTTGCTGATGGCGCGGCTGCGCCCCCCTGCCGAGCCCTCACCGAGAAGCGTCGTGCTGGTGGAATTGTACGAGGCGACTGAGGGGTCGAGGGACATGGCGGTGCCGGGGCGGGCCATGGAGTTGAGAGACTCGGAGGGAGACGTGGAGAGAGCGGCCTCGGGAGGGGGTGACGACAGGGCCATGTTGGCCAGTGACGAGGGGAGAAACTCTAGAGAGAGCCTCGAGAAGATGGTCTTGAGCGTCTCATAGCGTGGTAGAATGACGATATCTCTGTAAGCGATGAGGACCAGCCTCCTCACGTCGAGAACCGCCGAGGCCGGAGCCACGCGGGCAGGCTTGTCCGACGAGGCCGATGACGCCAGGGCACCGCCCCAGAAGTCTCGGGCCTGCTCTCCGGTCATGAGCGTACCGCACCCTGAGACTTCGAGGTCCAGCGGGAGGAATACGGCCTGCATGTACGGCAGGATGGACGTAAAGGTAAACATCCAGAGCTCCACTAGTGTTGGGATGAAACGATCCTCGGGCGTATTCCGTAGCGTCCGGTCAAGGGAAGAGAACCCCGTAGCTAGCAGATCACGCAGGTCCTCCACCATCGTATTGGGCGAGCGTCTATGCATACACCACTGAATATGCACCTGCACCACCCGGTTGAAGTCCTCAACGGGGAGACGCAGGTCCTCGCCCTCAAAGATGACCAGCAGCTTGGCTTTGAGGTACGGCCACGCGTCGTCGGCGGACATGTGGTGGTGAAGCCCGAGCTTGCCGGGATCCACGGGGTCGTAGATGCTCGACTGCGACGGCAGACTGCTCGGCCCGGGCCATTCGCTCTGCAGGTTGAAGCTCGACTCGCTCTCCAGGCGGCTGTCGGATCTCTCGGCGAGCTTCTTGTCCTTTTTGGTCTTGACGAACCCGGACGAGTTGGGTCCGGGGCTCGGGGGTATGTTGAAGTTGTACAGGGGGTTGGGCGCATTTGGATCCGTGGGTCGAGAGTTGCTGGATGCCGAGGAGAGCGGTAGATGATACTCATCCTTGAGTTTGTGTTTCTGCCGGGAGAGGAAGTGATGCTTCTTCTCCTTTTCCTTTCCCTTCTCTTCAGTAGGAGTCTCAATTGGTCGGATAGTAGCTGAAGACGAATTGTTGAGGTTGTAGATAGACTGATTGCTTGGGTCGACCAGACTGCTCGTGCTAAAGTTCCCACGCTGTAGAGCAGA